CGGAACTCCTCAGGACCTCGAAAATAATGGTCATTCTTTAAATGATATCTCTTCTTTTCTACCCTACTCTATTTCTATAAAAAGGTGTAGATATTTGTGTCTGTGGAGGAGGTGAGTTCAAGGTCTTCCTACCTCAAGGCATCTTGGATTGGAACCTATTTTGACAACCTCTACGCTAGGATGAATTAACGTACAACCATTAATAAAGTTATCCTCAATTTTTTTAATAGGTACTATTTACCAAAGTACAAAATTGTAGTAACAAGAATAACCGGGAACAAACACGACTGAATCTTGGTAAGCATACCAAGTAGAGCAGGGGGATGCAGATGTTCCAGAGTAGTGTGTATGGATGCAAGCATTCGGTGTGCTATGGACATCAATCAGTATTGGGGGGCGGGGAGAAGATAACTGGCAGATAGGGACAAGTATTTGTGATAATCACCATTCTCATCTTTTCTGGCCTTTTACCATCCCATAATTGTTCCAAAGCAGAAGTACAGTGTGTTAGGTGTACTAGTTTCCTAGGACTGCTGTAACAAAGTACCACAAATTGAGTGACTTAACAACAAACATTTATTCTCTCACCCGTTCTAGGTGCTAAAAACCCCAAATCCAGGTGTTAAAAGGGTTGGTTCTGTGAAAATCAGTAAAAGGAAGTATCATTTAAAATGAAGTCTAGAGGCCAGATGGGGGAGCTCTCACGTCCTACCACTAGCCAGCAAGTACAGACCCCAAAGGAACAGAGAGTACCTTGCAAGTCTTGCAAGTTGGATACCGCTGTACTAAGCCCAGCAGGAGAAGGAAGTTGTTCTCCTGCCGCAGCAACAGCCCAGCCAATAAGAGACTGTCACGATTCAGCCAATGAAAAGGCACCATGCCTCAAACTCCCAGTTTACTCCCCTGCATTTTTCATTGGTATCAGTCCCTCCCAGCTCCCTTCTTTTCTCTGTAGTAAAGCAGTCTTCTCCTTTGTTCTCCAGACTTGCCAATGCTTTGTCCTGAACTGCAATTCTCTGCTAATCCCTAGTAAACCATTTTTTGCTGGTAAAATAACTAACGGTTTTAAGTTTAACAGTTCCTTCTGGAAGTTCTGAGAGACAATCTGTATGTCTCCCTCCCTCCTCATTTCTGATGGTTTGCAGACAATCCTTAGCTTGTATCACATGACTCCAATCTCTGCTTCTGTCTTCACTCGGTGTTCTACCCTCTCCTCTATTTTTAAGATTAAAAGCACAGCCTTTTAGTCAGATGGATGTGGGGTTTAAATCCAGGCTGTTTCTTTGTATTCTGGGGAAAATCCACCTAACATCTCTGAGCTTCAGTTTCATGGAAAATGGGAACAATAATATCTTCCTCAGGCTGTAGTTCTGTTGCAGAAGGCGGAATATAAATGGTGGCCATTGAAATTAAGCTCACGGGTCAATACAGAGTGATTTTTGCTCTCTCCGGTTTGTATATTTTAGTACGATGAAGTACAAGACTTATACCATACAAATTTAGGGACAAAAAGTACGAATCCTTATGGAATTAGTTTATATTCAGAGATTTCTTAATTCCTGAGCAAGAAGTTCAGACTTAGGTCCTCACCTTGCCTTCCTGTGTTGTCTTTTTGTCTCCCTAAGACATTAGTGGACAGATATGACCAGAGGAACTAGAGAAATACTTATTGTTTTCCCAGGCATCAAGTACAATAAGGTTCATTCTATATTAAAAGTTAACTCATTTGTAATGCTGTCAGCAGGCAATAATACGTTTCATGCAGTGTAAACAGTAAAGCATGTACCTAAGAGTCACTAAGAATTACAAGATTTTTCAATTGGAAAAGTTCTTAAAAGTGTAGTTGCTCACTTATGATAAACATCTTTTCTTCAAGGTGGTATATATATATACAATGGAATACTATGCAGCCAACCAAAAAACAATCTTGCCATTTGCAACAACATGGATGGAACTAGAGGGTATTATGCTAAGCGAAATAAGTCAATCGGAGAAAGACAAGTATCATATGATCTCACTGGTATGAGGAATTCTTAATCTCAGGAAGCAAACTGAGAATTGCTGGAGTGGTGAGGGGTGGGAGGGATGGGGTGGCTGGGTGATGGACATTGGGGAGGGTATGTGCTACGGTGAGCGCTGTGAATTGTGTAAGACTGTTGAATCACAGACCTGTACCCCTGAAACAAATAATACATTATATGTTAATAAAAAAAATTCTTAAAAAGCTTAAAAAAATCTTTTCTTCAGCTTTCATGACCAAATTATGGCCCAACAAAATTATGTAGCCAGTGCTGTGTGGAACAGTTCTAAATATTAAGGGGTTTCATAATGGGTTTTTATTATATCTAAACCCAGATTGGTCCAGTGACTTTCTGTCAGAGAGCTACTTTTAGACAAAACTTTATAAAAAGTGAGTGAACAAAAAGAAAAAAAAATGTGAGTGAACAAAGTTTGTCTACTTACAGGCATGGCAAATAGACAATATCCAGGTATGTGAATGGACTTTGCAATCTAAATATCCATGAAAACAGTATGGCTTAAATATACTATGATGTATACGTAAGACATACTACTTGGACACATGGAAACCTAATCCTGGTTGCAGGTTAGAATTATTACTTCAGGAGATTTAAGAAAAACGGTCCTGGCCCTCACTGTGAAATGTATTGAGTTTTTGTTTTTGCTTTTTTGCTCCCAAGTGAATCTAATCTGTAGGCAGGACTATGAACCATTGATGTCAGCCTTAAAGAGGATATAAATCTATTAGCATGGAATATTGTCTACAACATATAGTTGTTCTAAAAAAAATGCAGTTTGTGGATCATATGATTCCATTTGTGTAGAATATTCCTAATATGCAGTACACATTCTGTAAGGCAAACAGCAAACCGGACGGGATGGATATGGAGAGAGGAGCTGAGATTCCTGAGGCTTAACTTTCTATACTGTATTTTTTTACAGCAGAATGCAGATTTTTAAAAATACGGTGTTTTTTAAATCAGCAAAAGCTTCACATTTTTATTTTCATGATAAAAAAAGACATGGTAAGTCTTTGATTTATACCTTCCATCTGCTTAGAACATGAATATTTACAATTTGTACTAGTCTTCACAATTTTCCTTAGCTTACAGTTTAGTATGAAAAATGTTATCACAAGCATTGTCTCCTTCGTATGAGTTGAACTCACTCCCATTTACAGGTAAGAAGATGAAGAGTTAAGTCACCAGACTCTGCTCTTAAGATAATTCAACTCAAGCCCACATCTGATTTCAAGCTGAATGTTGTTTTTACTATACTGACCACCTTCTTGATAGCTTCCTCTACACAGCATTGCCACAGATAGGGGTCCCTATTGGCCAAGGAAACATTAATTGGGTGTTTGGGTACCTTCCAGGCACATTCAAAGTGCGTGCCTTTATTTCTTCCCTTGCATCCTTAATATTTAAGACGTTCGGAAAGACAGCATTCTGTGATTTATCTCCTACACTTCATCCAATCATCAGCAAAAGCTGTTTGCTTTACCTTCAACTCTTCCTAGATCTGACCTCTTCACCCCTCCTCCTGTACCACTTTGATCCAGGCCACCCTTTTCTCTCTTATAATAGCTTCCCAGCTGCTCCCATGGGCTCTGATTTCACTCTTTCCTCCCTACAACCTAGTGGCCACCCAGCATTCAAGTGAGGTTAACTCTAAGTCTGATCAAGGCCTATCAGTCCCTTTATCACTCACAATAAAATCGAGTCCTCACAAGTGTGATCTGCTTGTTTTATTTGCTGGCTACTTCTATGATCTCGGCTCCTATCACTCTCCCCGTGGCTCACTCGGTTCCGTTCACACCAGCCTCCTCTGCTATACATCATACACATCATTTCAGGCCCCTTTGTCTTTGCAGCTTTCTAAGCCTAGATCATTCTTTCCCAGATTTATCTGTACTAATGCTCTCCCTTTTCATTCAGATCTCTGGTCAATTATACCCTGATTCTCAGAGGTCTTCCTTACCCACCCCAAATAAAATAGCACCCCCTTCACCCTCTATCCCTTTATCCGTGCTTTATTTTCACATGACACCTCACATATTTTTTAAGATGCATTTTAAATATATATTCATATATTTGTTTATTGTCAATCTTCCACCATTAAAAGAGAAACTGTCCAAGAGTAGGGACTTCGTTCTTTTTCCTGCTGGATTGGGAGGGTGTAGGACCAGGCCTAACAAAATAAGCATTTACCAATCATGTGAATGAATCTTTCATTTACATTCTTAAGCACTTTTTGCTTCTATTAGTTTTCCTCCCTTACAGTACTATTATAATTCCAGCCAGGCTTTTAAGCACAGATGGTTTTTATAAGTGAATACATTTTACTTACTGCAATTGCGAAACAAATGTTAATCATCATTACAAGGGTTTGCTATAGGGGCCACTGTGTTTGAAGCATAGGGAGAGCAGACACTCCAGCCAAGTCCCAGAGTGAATCCTACCAAGAGTCTCTGTGCACAGAGAAATTGGCCGGGGAGGAGGTGGGAGCAAGGGCAGAACTTAGAGGAAGAGGGAGGAATGAGGTTTTGCTTGAGTTGAATTGAAACTGGCATTGTCAACGGAGTTAAACCTGTTCTGTAGTCCCCCGTACCACCTCACCCCACCTGCCTTCCACCCACAGCAGTAAAAATATTTTACACTTCCGGGTTCTAGGCTTATAAAACAAAGATGCTTTTTTTTTTTTTTTTTTTTTTTTAGCAAATCAAGCTTCAAGGCTGACTTTATTATTCTCTCCTCCCATTTTTATTATTGAATAAATTTTCCCTGCACTATGGGCTGGGTTTTTTCCTCTCTTTCGTCACATTATATGGTTTGACCCAGGTGATCATTCTCTCTCAATGGAGGGTGGATAGAAAAAAAAAAATCTCACACTGGGATGATGCAAGTGGATGAGCTTGCCGACTAAAATAAAATATTCTTCCTTTTTGCCTTTACAGGCCAGTCTCATTGGGCACATCCAGTTCAGAGGATGCTAATATAAACCTTGCCCACCTCTCTCAGCCCGTCTTTCTTACTCAGACAGTTTCCAAGCAGCTCTCTGATGGAGACACAATCTTCAGTTTCCAGGACAAACTGTGCCACGGCCTTCGGTCCTGGCAGCTGGCCCTGCATGGTCTCACCTTTGACACTGTCCAGGGCCACTCCCCTGATGTCTTTGGGCTTACCCGGCACCCCAAAGATGATAAACAGGCCCAGACAATCCTCTCCTATCAACTTACAGAATTCTTCCAGCTTATCAAATCTACTTCTCTTCCTGAAAGGCTCCTCTGCCCTGGATTCCGGAGGTGAGAAGTCACGGGGCTTAGATTCCATAGGAGGGAGAGAAGACATTTGCAGAGTTTGCACCGCCAGCTGGAGCCTGACCTGTTTCTCATGTTTCTCGGATCCCCAGAAGGTCCAAATCCAGTCTGCCCCAAACAGTACAGCTTGGTGCTTGGTCATCTTGGTGGTGGTGAGCCACTCGTCCACTCCCTTGTCTTGGCAGAAAGAGACAAAGTGGATTAAGAAGATCTCATTCAGAGTGTTGGAAGCCGGGCACAGATTGCTCAGAGGATCTTCAAATCCAAGATACTCCTTCACTTTCTGAGCTGCATGGACTATAGCCTCGCTGACGACCTCACAGATGCTGGAAACCTCTTTGCTGTCCTTCAGAGGCAACTGTTGTGATGAGTTTTGCCCCATTTTGTCCGCACCCAATCAATACTGCTTCCAGAGATCAAACATGTGAAGCTCATTCAGAATGACTTCTTCAGAGTAAAAGTTTTTACCACGAAGTCATGTCCGTTAATGCGGTCCCAGTTTACCGACTCAACGTTGACGAAACGAGTGGTGGAGCTGAGCACATATACACACAGCTAAACAAACATGTTAGGGGTCCCTGTTTGCCAATGAGGTGTGTTGTATTCATACAGATTTCCTGCTGGTTTATTAGAGATGATTAACTTGGACTGAAAACATCTGTTCTTCTCTAGTGATACTCACTCTACTTCTAATATTGGGCAATCTTCTTCCAAGATAGGTTTCTGCTTTCAAAATTTTACTTAAATTAAAAATAGTATTGAGTTCTTTAAAGAACCATACACCTCCTTCTAAAACTAACTTCTTCAGCTTTGCTGGCGAGTCATTTCCCTTTGCTTTTCTAATAACCCCTCCGCCATGATTCCTTACCACACAGCCCAGCTGCTTGTTTCCTTTCATAGAGAAATTCCTCAGAGTCCTCAAATTTCTACCTGTTGACACATGCTATAACCCTCCCCCTAATAAATGTATGGGAGTTTGCAAATTATAAAGTATTTGTGTCACTGTTCTATATACCAGAAATAAAGCCAACTGGGTATTCTGAACAAAGGAAAATAAAGTAACAGACCATAAAAACAGGAGACAATTATCAATTGACTTTATTTCTTTTCATATGGTAATACCAGCAGTGTACAATGTTTTGTAAATAAAATATATATCATCAAAAGAATTTTAACTTTATCACATATCATCAGTTATGTTACACTGCCCTGAATAAAGAATATTTGGCATCTATAACAGTCTCCTGGTATTTTTTTTAACCAGGTTTGAATAAGAAATTGTTTTTCAAATGGTGACATATGTTCACATTAAAATAAAACACTAATATGTAAGAGCCCAATACCGTTACCAAACGATGAATGGTAGGGAGCAAAAGACTATTATTAGCATCAGATCATTTTAGTCATGAATAAACAGTAATTTGGTATTACAGGCCCTTGTTGGAAAGCTTGGTAACCTGCTAATAGCTTGCAAGATCACACCACTGACATTTAAATATAATTTATAAGCAAATCCACTGGCACATACTGAACCGCCCATCCCCATGCCAATTTGTGAAAACCTGTCTTTATCAAGTTGGCTATCGTGGGAAGTGATGTAGTAGTGAATAAAAAATGGGATATTTTTTCAAATACCCCTAAAAAAAATGATAAACACAGTAAGTTTTTGCCACGGCTCTCTCCTTTAGAAATGCTGTCTGGGCCCTGCGCTATAGAAAAACATGAACTACATTTTCTCATCACAGTATAGCCATTCTAAAACTCATTTTGCAGCCTCAGCGTTACTGAACTCTGAGACAAAATGTTCAGATGAATGTTCAGCTTCTTAACAAAATCCCACTCATTGATAGCCTGAGAAATGTACAATCAATAACAGTAGGTACATTGTTAGTATTTTGATGTATTGATATATTTAGCAAGAAGGAAAATAAGCAGCTTAATACTGTAAAGGTTTTTGTTTAGGCTTGGTTTCTTCAGAAATCATTTCTACAAATTTGGGGGGAACTTCTGAATGCATTCACGTTAATAGTATTTAAACGGCCCTGGCATTCCTCCTTTTGAGGTGAAAGGATCCAAGATGGAGGTTGAAATTTTAACTCTTCAACATTGGGTGATGTGTCATCAAAGAAGGGGTATTTCATATATCTTAATCTAGTTGGGATGATCAATATTAATATCATTAAAATTCAGTTGTGGAGAAGGAGAGATCATCCCAACCTTTCCAAGGACCAGCTGGTATATGACCATTTTGATCACTGTATTTGCTTTTCACCATCTTCCGTATGTCACAAAATAAAAGTTCTATTTTCTATGTACTAAATATATACACGTATTTAGAAAAATATATAAAATAGGACAATAAGAGGCAAGTGGAGGTGCGGCTGGCATTTAGCGGGCACACTGAATGCGTGAAGAAATCCCACATACTGCTTTTGAAAGCATGTGATGTCCTGCTTTGACGGCCGCAGGGCTGTCACACAGACATGACAAGATCATCCACGCACTGCTTCCCGCTTCCCAAATCCTGCATACTGCTGAATGTGAACGTGAAACGCTAGGTAAAACACTCGTATTAAATGCAACACTTTAAATATATCACAGATTTTTACATTAAATAGAGGAAAGACAATTATACTCTCATTCACCAGTGTCTCATTTTTCATGGCATCTTCAGAATAGGTACCCGCCCCCCCACCCCGCTTCCCGTTTCCACTTCTGAGAAGGTGGAATGATAAACCGTATACAATCTGCTGATTGTTAGATCTTCTGCAAGCTGTTTGAGAAATCAGGTGGAGAAAAGACGAGGGGCTCCTCATGCTCAACCAAGTGCTCGCCTTAAACGTTGGAGTCCTCGTCAGTAATGCTGGCGCTGGGGGAACAGGCGGCAAAATCTCGAAACATGTCGTCCTCCTTTAACATGTGCTGGAAAACACGGAGATGGGGGTCACGCACCCTGGGAGCCAGGAGCTTGGCACGACACATCCTCCACTAAATGTGCAGTCCTTTGGGGTTATTTTTATTTTTTATTTATTTTTAAGATTTTATTATTTATTTGAGAGAGAGAGAATGAGATAGAGAGAGAGCACGAGAGGGAAGAGGGTCGGAGGGAGAAGCAGACTGCCCGCGGAGCAGGGAGCCCGATGCGGAACTCGATCCCGGGACTCCAGGATCATGACCTGAGCTGAAGGCAGTCGCTTAACCAACTGAGCCACCCAGGCGCCCCTTATTATTATTTTTAAAAGATTTTATTTTTAAGTAATCTCTACCCCCAACATGCGGCTGGAACTCACAACCCCAGGGATCAAGAGTCGCACGCTCCACCGACGGAGCCAGCCAGGCGCCCCTTTAGAATACCATTTTAACTTCGTTTTACAGACTTACTGTTAGATTGTTGATGCCTTCAGAGAACGCCCCTATCTGTCTCACCGTCCCTTCTGAATCCTCCATCTGCAAAGAACATACCACCACATGACCTACTCGTTTGCATAATTTCAAAGAAAGCACAGCAGAATGAGTAAAAGTCTAAGAGGAAATAATGCAAGTGATACTGAACGGGCTGGGGGCAACACAACACTTCTGATGATACCTCCTTTTGTTACAGCAACCAGATGCTCAAAATGGGACAAACAACACTTTACTGGCACATCTAGCCTAATGCTCTGATGTTGACAATGACATCAAAGGACGGGTGACTAAGGGACAATATTCAAATGCAGGACTTCACACTGAAAAGACTAAATGAGCTGTGTATTTCTGACTTGATTTAATACACAGATTTCCATAATACAGAGACGGTATAACATAGGTGAGTAGCCAGACTTTGGAGGCGGCCTGGCAGCTTGGGGCCCCAGGTCTTCTAGCAGCTCTTCTAACTTGGGTAAGGTCCTTAACCTATCTGTGCCTTGGTTTCCTTCCCCCTAAAATGAGGATAACAACACCCTGTATGTTTTAGGGTCACCGTGAGAGCTGATATATGTTGAGTGCTGAGGACAGTGCCTGGGACACAGTAAGCAACCTGGAAGTTGTTCACTATTATTTTATTATTATATTTATTTTCAGGTATTTGAGGAAAAACTGATTAGTAGACACAGTGCACCAAGTTTCCATTTAGTGTTTCATTGCTGCAGGAACTTTATTTTTATTTTTATTTTTTAAAGATTTTATTTATTTGACAGAGAGAGACACAGCGAGAGAGGGAACACAAGCAGGGGGAGTGGGAGAGGGAGAAGCAGGCTCCCACGGAGCAGGGAGCCCGATGCGGGGCTCGATCCCAGGACCCTGGGATCAGGACCTGAGCCGAAGGCAGACGCTTAACGACTGAGCCACCCAGGCGCCCCGCTGGAGGAACTTTAAATAGGTCTATCGTGTTGCCTTTACCTGCTCTAACCGGTCCAAATCATCTTCGTCATATAGGCGCATGTCCAATCCAGGTTGAAATCCTTTCTTAGAAGTACTTCCTGATGTCTGTCCCAATTCCATTGGACAAACATATTCTTCCCCATCTTCCTGTTTCTTCTTTCTCAGATTCCCAAAATTGCTGAAGGTAAGTTTCTTTGGCTTTAAACGAAGAGCAAACATCCAGGGATTTAATAAAATTCATACGGCAAAGGATTGATAACATGCATAATTCAATTATTCATTCCATCCACAGAGAAAATCAATTGGATAATTAAATTGGTGTGACAAAAATAAAAGCATCCTGGGTATATGATTGATGCACCCAAATATAATAAATGATCCTTTTTATGAATCTCAGAAGATTAGGCTTGTTCTCCTTATTCACACCAATTAGCTGGGTAGTCACTGTGATAAGCAAAAAATGCCAAGAGCCTTAGTTTTGATTAAACAGAACTTAATGCAATGATATTTCTCAGAGATGATTCCAATTTTGCGAGGTTTCCCCATCTAAGATCAGGAAAAGAAAATGGTCCTGTGTTTTCTTTTTGGGTGAAGCTATGATTATCCATAACGTAACTGGCGGCCGCTAAAGGAATCCTCACTCGTTTGGAGAGAGAACTTGCAGTGAAACTTGGAAGAGAAACTCCATCTTTATCACTGAACAGTCCCTGAGACTATCTGTTAAGCAGATGGTGATCAGGCTGATGCTGAGAATTTAAGTAGAACAGTATCTCTCAGAAGTTTCAAATCTGGCACAGATTTTAAGGGAGCAAGGAAGCTAAAGAGAAAGTGTCAGGCATGTAGAGGTGGTTAAACAAAAATAAAAAATAAAAAGAGAAATGTATATGTATTTATGTATATAAAGAACTTGGTACAAATTTGTGGAGGAGCTGATAAACCCTAACTCCCCATTAAGTTGGTTGCGGTAACAGACTCAGAAGGGTTCAGAGAGAAATGATTTAAAAGAAGGAAAAGTAGACTCCCATTACTGAAGCCGAGCTCCTGAACATGGGTTCTTTCCTGTCCCAGCCTCTGCAGCCCATCAAGGTCCTTGCGCCTCCTGAGGCCACCAACTCTGCCGAGTCCCTGCCCCTCCCTGCCCCTGGAGTGCTGACCTCTCCAGCGGAAGCCCCTCTATTTAATAACTGCTGGAGCTGTTGTGTGCTTTCAGGGGCGGGGCTGGTAGGGGCGGGAGGGTACGTGTACTGGGTGGCACGGAAGCTCATGAAGCTGGGATACGCCCCTGGTCCAGGGACTATTACGCCGCAGATAAGTCAACGGCATCAGCATTGCTTGTTGGGGTGTAGTCATCCTTTCAGACCCCAAAGGAAAGGTCTTTAGTGTTGACTGAAAGTACTACCTGTGAATTTGTCATCTTCTGTCCATGTCCCCAGAACACCAGAACAAGCATGGGACTTTTGGATGTTCTGGACAGACAAATGGACATCGACAGACCTCAGTTCTGAGGATACCTCAAGACTGAAAAGACAAACGTGGGTTGTTATTCTTTGGCCATGAGTGTTGTGGCCGCCTTCTCAGGCTTCACAGGGAACAATAAATCCCTCAGAGAAGAGAACAAGTTCTGTGTCTTATCTGGTATAATAATAAAAAAAAGAAAGTTAAAAAATTTTAAATTAAAAAAAAGAGGAAATGATAAACCAAAAAAAAAAAAAAAAGAGGGAAAAGTAATCTGAATTTGGTATGACCCACGAATCTGGGTAAATCTGGCGATAGCCATTCTCTGCTGGTCTATCTTGAATCGTTTCTTAAGTATCTTTTTCTAACTTGCAAGACTGGTCAGTTGTAAGCCAGACAAATTGAATCTGTCTGAGAAAAAATCCTCCTCTTATACTGTATTTATCCATACAACAACTGCAATTAATATCTGAGCCCAAGTCATGGACTCTCTGCATTGGCAATATATTGACTGCATCCCAACATCATACTCTTCATTACTTGAAACTCTAATAAAATAAATGATTTGAGCAAAGATTGCCCCAGAAAGACACTTGCAAAAATGCATTTTCTTAATTACTCTTGAAGATGCACAGACCATTAACCCATCCACAAGACTCAGTAAACTCCAGAAAATGGGATAGTCAGGTCAAAATCAAATCGCAGCTTTAGTTTTTGCTTTAACCAATTATTAGAAGTCACAAGCTTGAACCAACCTTCACTTTGGCAGTGGCTGTTAGAAGTACATAATCTGGTAACTCCATGGCATCACGCTTTTGGTGCTGGGCCTCAGCACCGATCAGAAGGTTGAAGTGAGTAGCCAAATGTCTTCGCAAGAGGGTCTTACTTGGTGGGATGTTCAATAACTGAGCCATTGTTTCTACATTAAAACGAGGTTCTAGAACCTATAAAAAAATTACAGTTGTTTAAGGCACCATATATCATACATGTCTGCATTGTGCTTCATAATTTGCAAAACTCCTTCATTTAGTCAACACAAATGATCCCGCAATAGCCCAGTGAAACAGACGGCATGGACTTCAATCTTCAAGCTATATATCTTTATTTTTCCTAAGCTAGTGAGAAGTAGAGCCATTCCTGACATCCACACATTCCCAAGTTAGGGCTTGTAGCTCTCTGAAGTGGGCCTTTGGAATGCCTTTGGAAGGCAACTCCTTATGTCAATGTGCAGAAATATAAATCTGTATGTTGCAGGTGTTTCAAAACAGGATCATATGAGAGCCAGGAGTCAGATGTCACACAAGATAAAAGACAATAAACGAGAGACGGTTTTAAATCTGATCTAGCCTTATGTGATACAAATAAAAAATATGGGAAAAAAATACTCAGAAAGTAAAGACTTACTAGAAATGCTACAGGAGGGTTCAGTTTGATGACACTAGGGTTATGACAAGCAAACTGATAATATCCTACTCATTGGACTAATGGAAACAAAATGATAAGAAGTCAGTTTTTAGATTAAAAGAGAGTTTTACCATGAGCCCACCATGGACACCACTGCCTCGGAGATTGGGGGCATATTCTGCCAAGTCCACGGAGCGTAGCCACTCCATCACCCGATGGTTGGTCCACTGCTGAACTTCTGATGGGGTGATGCTGTTCTATGAGAACAAACAACCACCAAGAGCTTCAGTCATTGACTATGGGATTCCAAACACTAAAACTGCACGTTCTAAAAAGTCTGCCTTACAGAGCACACTTACTCGACATTCCACTAAGTGTTTACAGAAAGGGTGAAAAGGTGTTTGCTAATCTGAATTTTGTTTTGAGGCATCTATGTCACTGTCCCAAGCTTTTTTACAAACTCATAAAGCAGTGCTTTAGGAAAGCAAGTCTTCAGAGTGATATTTAACTCAGTGGCTTAAGGAGGCAGGAAAATAAAATACACCCAAGGAAAGGAGGAAGGGAAATTAAAAAATAATCTTTGACTTTAGTTACACAGGTGGAACCATCATGGGGGTGGGGGGGATGGGAGGAATATAGGAAAATAAAGCTCAAGAAGGTAATGAGGCTGGATTTGAGGCTCTGAGGAAAGCAGAAGCTTTTCCTGCAGGCCCCACAAAGAAACGGGTGTTTGTTTTGCACACACAGCCAGTCACATGCACGGGGAGCGCATGCTGTGTAAATCTCAACCTCAGGTGCTACCTCGTCAGAGGGCCGCCTCCGCAGACAGTTGGGTTCAAAGTTATTGATCCTCAGGACCTGGATAGCCCTTTTGATACTGAGATGGTGTAGCACACTCACGACTTTCAAAGATAGTAAGTCATCCTGTAAAAAAAACAAAAAACAAAAAACAAAAAAACAAAAACAGGAGCTCACTGAGCTAACCTTCTCAGGGAAATTTCAGGAAACACAAGTAAAAGTAGAAAAGCCCCTCTACCAACAGGGCTCAAGTGCTTGTGTTTTCAAACCCCTTATTTGGTAACAACCTTTTTCCTGTTCTAAACAAAATCTTCTCCAGGACCTCTCCTCTCTCTCTCTCTCTCTCTCTCTCTCTCTCTCTCTCTATATATATATATATATATATATAAATGTTGTGCCAACAGAAGCCAAGTTTCACCTGTTTCTCTCTCTTCCAGACATTTTGCGATAGGATCGTGGGACCCCACAAGCTCTGTAGAACACAGTTTGAAAGGCACCTGCTGGGTCACTGCAAAAAGCGATCCCCTTTGATTTGATGTGATAAAGCAGAGAGCTAAGAGCACGTGATGTTCAGTGACAAGCAGAGCTGGGTTTTCTGAGCTAAGGCACATCACCATTTGGGGGAAAACCAGAAGAGTATCTCTGTTATACTATTCCCCAAGTCTCAAGAAATCTCTAGTCCTGGATTATTATGCTTTATCTAGCAGACACTGAGAACAAGTTTGGGAAAATTGTGTCGATCGATGCAAACTGATTGGTGAGAGAGTTAAAGAGAAAGGAGAAATGAAGAACTTATAAGTAGCAACATGTATCACCATCAATTCCTCCAAGGTGTAACTTTCGCCAGTCTGTGGTTATTGGGAACATTTCAAACATACCGAACACACCAAAACAAATTATTTCAGAAGGTGATTTGGAGGGCGGTGTCAAGATAAGCACCAGTCTATTTCCAAACACACCCAGAAAATAAAACAAGAAAAACATCCATTTTAGACACACCTTACTGATAACACATTTCTTGGCGGGGAGGGGGGGCGGGGAACGACGCGACACAACATGGTGCTGGTGGTAATCTATTACAGAAATAGTTTTTAAATAAAAATATTAGACAATCAGCTTAAATTCTTCAAGCTACTGAGCAAAATTATTTCCTGAATTTTTTCTGGATCAATTTCTTAAAGGCAGTGCCCTATGATAATTTAGAAGGCATTTAACATATTTTAATCTAAGATTGAGACACCCATTCAGAACATTTCCATGTGGGCTATTTTCAACTAAAGTCTATCAGATTAAAAAAATCTAAATACATAATGATTGCAATGTAAACGCAATGCAAATTATTTTAGCTTAAGAGATTTTAAAAGTAGGGGCTGTTTTCTTTTAAATCAAAACAGGTTTTTTTAGCTTTAAAAAAATATTTTAAGTAATTTTAGATTTACCAAAGAGCCGCCAAAGATAGAAGATAGTCCCATATACCGTTTACTCAGTTTCCCCTAATGTTAACAGCTTCTGTAACAATGATATAGTCATCAAAACTAAGGAATTAACATAGACAACAAAAAAATGATAGCTCAGCTACAGACTTTACTCAAATTTTATGGGTTTTTCCCCTAGGTCCTTTCTCTGTTCCAGGATCCAGCCCAGGATACCACGTTCAAACAGGTTTTTTGTGACATAGAACTTCTAGGGGCAAACTTCCTAAGATGATTTATTCTTTTATAGCCACAAAAGTTACACGCATTTTTTTTTTAAGCCTGAATCTTCTCATGTTCCTGCAGGAGCAAACCTATACCTAGACAGGTGGGCAAGTATTTACTGAATTTGTTCCAGGCTGAGCTAGTAAGAGCAGGAATCTGGAAACATCCTAGGTTCAAACACCCTGTGACTTTCGACTACTTTCTAGCTGTGGAAACTTGGTCAAGTTACCCAGTTTCTCAATTTTTTCATTCCCTCATCTAAATACTGGGGATAACAGGAATGCTACCTCAAGGCTTGCTGAGACTTGAGTATTAATAGGAGTACGGAGCTTGAAAGAGTGTCTGGCACAGAGTAAATGTGCAATGTGCCACACACTGGTGTTATTATAAGCAGGTTTATGCTATGTGCCCACCAAGGTACGGACTTTGGTTCAATAACAGAGAAGAAAACAAATCCCATGAGAGGAACCCCACATTTCTTTGACATTGGAAAATTAGCTGTTTGAAATTTTCAACTTATTTAAAGAAGATACTTATGGCAGTTGGTTCCAGAGCCTAGCCCACAAAAGCCTGTTTAAATAAAAACATCTAATGAGTAGTACACTAACAGGACTATGGAATCTAGAACAAGTTCTCCTGGAAACAAACCATCTCTCCCCACTGTTGTAAAGTCCTTCTACCTCTTGGATGGAAGGATAAAAATATGGAACAATAATGAAGGAATCAGAGTCTACCTCGCCCTACTTCTTCAGCTCTGTGACTCTTGCCCTAGCGGAATGGGGCTGAAGAGAGAAAGGAAGCAGGTTTCAGGTAACATTCTCAAAAGTGGAAAGGAGGAGAGGAGACAAGTCTCTAGAAGTCAGGTCAAAAGGATGGTCTCTTCTGAGCAGTCACTGCATATAGGAATGTGTAACTCAAAAACTGCCAGGGCTTCAGAACTCTACATTCTATTTTTTAAACATCTTTAGGAGAGGAGGCGCCTGGGTGGCTCAGTCGGTTAAGCATCTGCCTTCTGCTCAGGTCATGATCCCAGGGTCCCAGGATCGAGCCCCGCATCAGGCTCCCTGCTCAGTGGGAGTCTGCTTCTCTCTCTGACCCTCCCCCTGCTTGTGCTCACTAACAAATGAATAAAGCCTAAAATAAAATAAACATCTTTAGGAGATACAATTCACATACTAGAAAATTTACCCAAAATGTGCATTTCAGTGTCTACATTGTTGAATATATATAAAACCATCTTCCTGGACAGCTGAGTTTAGATTAGGTTTCACACAGCTTAAATCAGTGTTTTCAATTTCCCACGGTATTGCAATCAGCATATCCTCTGACTTCAACTTAACAGAAAATATTCCTGTTCTTCTCAAGTTAAGGCAACACACTGAAACTCTGCTAGAATCATTGTGAAAACAATGTATTTTGCTCACTAATTCTGTGTTTTTCAGAGAAAAACAATTTGACACCCCTTCTCCCCCCAATTCCCAGGAGTAAACCACTTACAACAGTCATGTAATGGAGCATTCGACCATCTACCCGTCCTTCGTCAAACTGGGTCTTGTACTGGGGGAGACCGATATCATCCAACCATCCTACAGGAGAGAAATCGGTGTTGTACTTGTGGTTAAAAAGAAAAAGCAGCTTTATTTATTCATTCATTCATTCATTCATTCATGAGTGAGTGAATTTAAAACCTCTTACTAGTGACCCAGTTGAAATCCAGCTTTCCATGGTTGGTTTCTTCTTCGGACCCCAGGGCTTGCAGTGCCAGCTGGAGTTTCTTTCGATGAAGTGAATGCTTAATTCCAAGTTCCTGAAATAATAAGCAGAAATGCTGGCTTTACCATTCTGTCCATATGGGCTGGATGCCACTGGCAAAAGATGCCAATTCCCCCCAAATGAGGCTGGTGTTAAAGACCGGACAATCACATTAAATCAGCATACCGACTCAGGCTAGTAAAATGCAGCTGCACAAAAAGCCCCTAGCAAGCCAAGACTACTACTGCAACTAGTTTAGTGGTGTACTCTCTTCCCTAGCAGGCTCCTTCCTTGGTAAGACTGGAATGCTACTCTTTTTGTACAAAATGTTAAATAATTAGGAAAACTGTAAATAATTAGATGTAAGATCGAGGGCTCTTTCCTTTTCCTCTTTGCAAAGTAAACTTGAGTTGCATACATTAACACTGAGAAGTTGGGCCAATGAAAGCCACACAATGATTTTGAGAAATACGAGTTTAAGGTTTGTTATTATGCCTATACAATTATTTCTCACTACAATGACCAGTGGCTTACATGCTTCATAAGGAATCACTAAGACCCGGTCCTTCTTGTTAAGTCCATGAGATTTAAAAAAAAAAAAGAAAAAAAAAAGCGTGAAACAGAAAACACACAGTTTTTCAAGAGTACTTACTGGCTCCACCCACTCCCCTTTCCAGAGTATAAAACCATCCTACATTCATATTCTCTTTCCCAGTATCCATTGTCTAAACAAAACAGAGAAGCAGTCACCTTCTCCAGATCTTGTTGAGAAGCCTGCAGAAGGGTTTGGCCAGATGCAATCCAGTGCTTGCCAGAATTCAGGTAGGACCCCAAGCCTTGTTCCACAAGCCAATTGCAAACCTGCTCCTTGGTCCATTTGGCAAATGGCATATCCAAGTCACTATAAGAAAACGAATAACTGCATGAAAAACAACTCACAGCCAACCCTGTGGCTTATCGAGGTTGACCAACTGTATACTGAATGGATACGGGAATCCCATGGTAACGCCCATTTGACCGTGAAAAGCTTACTTTTCAGTACATATTTGGAGGAGGAGGAGGTGGTCCTGGTGTTGGAAGTTACCTCAGAGGACCACGGCTTTCATTTCAAATGAAACCACAAAAGATGCGATGTGACTGAGCAAGAAACATGTCGTATGGATGAAAAGCAAATTGAACCAACAAGTCAAGTCACTGTGCTAGTTTCAATCAATGTGGTTCGAAGACTGAATTCCCAAACAGAAAACACTAGGTTAGATGGAAAGAAATCAAGTCTAACTTGAATTAACTGTAGCAGAATTATGGTTTCTCTCCAAATGGGTATCAATGAGAAGAGAGCAACATGCCATCATTGAGTATAGGAAAATGTAATCAGCAAATTTCTGGTTTTTTACTTTGACACGTAAATTGTGTTCCTCTTTGGGGAAAAAAAAATGTGTAGATAAACAAGACTTTTTTTTTTTTTTTTTCCTTCTTCTTAAGCAGCACAAGGAGCTCCTCTTCTGTGTACAAAGAGAATATATGGCAAATGAGACTCTTCATGTGTTTGGAGAAAGCCAGTTTCCTCCTCGATGAAACCTATGCCCAGTCTTCTGCGAGGGTGGGAGGGACCATGTTCCAGAGATTTAGTGTCAATGATTTCTGCTAGATGTTTGCCAACCCTACCCTTTTCATGCTTAGTAGGTCAGTATAGCAATTTCAAACCAGCCCTAAATTGTGATAAGGGTGTAGGAAAAGTTCCTAAGAGTCTTAACAGATAAGACATTACACAGTCCTGATAAATTTAGGAATTCTGATAGAATTTATGTCTGTAGGTACTTTCACAGAATCCATCAATCGTTAACCTTCATTGAACAGTTACTATTTACCAGATACTTAACGTGTATTAACTCATTTAATCTTCATGATTACCTTTTGGGGGAATGGGCTAATTAATACCATGGGAAACAGAGGCACAGAGCATGGATGTAGTTGCTCAAAGGTCACCCAGGTTATAGGAAGTGGCAAGGCCAGGAATCAGATCCAAGCAGTCTGTCTCTGGAACTTATGTTCTCCCCCATCTCTCTAGAGCTATGCTTTAGAGTACTTAATGATTTTCTTGGTTATATTTAAGTCCAAGAATCATCCTAGCACAGATGTTGCTGACATTTTAGCTCTGGCTCCTCCCCAGGCTCACACAGCCTTCATCTTCTGCATGATTTTCACCAACCACTGCCAACATGCACTGCTCTAATAAGATGACGGACCCTTCCGCCCGGCACAGCAGTGAGCCATGGAGTCTGCCGTTTAGCCCAGGGACAATACTAACATTGCAGGTGCTCACAGCCTTGACACTTGGGTAGAGGCGTAAAAGTCCATTTGTTAGGTTGTTCTCACCTGTTAGATTGTCCCAAATCTCGAGACCAACCCAGTCGTGGTCCTGCAGTTGCCCTTGTCCCTCCTCTTTTGAATTCGGGCTCAGACATGTCATCTGGGTGGAATGTAGTTGACTGACTTCTCCTAAGCCTGAACAGAAGACACAACACCACGTTGCCTTGTATGAGACCTGAGGAGGCCTTCCTTAGGCTTTAAAGTTAATCAGAACACTGCTTATGTACGGTGAGAATAGACATCTGGATTTACACTTTAGCTGAGACCCGATGAGTTAGTGAATCCCAGACCACAATCTTCCTTCCATAAAAGGAACACCAAAGTCTTACAATTTCATACTCGTTTCCAGCCAATCTTCCATTTATTTCTACATTTGAGCAACATACAATACAAAGCTCACTCCATTTGTCTCCTCTGTTACTTACTTTCCAAAGAGTTTCATGATACCTCTGGATTTCTTTTTGGAATCCGGCGATGGTGGAGATATCTGGAAGGGACTGCTTCCCTGTGAATCTTTTGGCCGGGAAGATACACCAGCCAGATCTAGGTGCTCAGCTGTCTCCTTCTCTGTTTCAGCTATTCCAAGAACAGAATACATACTTGGTGAGTTTTAAATATGGAATGAACATGACTAGATGCTAACCTCCTTGGTTTTAGCAGTGGTTAACAAATTCTTCCTCTGTTGGTTTGTAAAGCAGTAATTTACAAACAGCACCCTACAGATATTAAAAATGGAACACAAATGTATGTTCTGCTTTACAGTCTGTTGTGTATCAATTAACATTGTGTAGAATATCCTGTAGGATACTGTGCCTAAATGCATTAACTCACAAGTTACCACCTCTTTGAGATTCAAAGGTGGGATAGGATTGCCACATTCTTTCCTTGAGTGATGTGAATACATAATGAAATTATTCTCGATCTTCCTGTAGCACTTGGTGCTGCTGACTCCCTCCCACATTCTTCAAAATCATCATCTCCTTCGTCTGCTTGTTATGACACTCTCCCAGATCTGTCAGCTGATAGTTTCTTCTCTGCTATAGGACCTGTTTCCTCTTCCTCTTCCACTCTGAGATTCCGTACTAGGTTCCCCCCATAGGATCTCTGGACAAGCTCACCCACTCCATGTCCGACACTAAATGACGGCTTCCCTCATACATAAGCAGCTGGTAGCACAATCTCTGGACCTAATCTCTCTCCCCAGACTCAGGATCTGAATGTCTATGGATATTCACCATTTGGTGTGCCAGGAACATCTTGGACTCAGCAAATCCATCCAATTTTCCAGAGGCTTCTCTTAAATTTTATTTAATATTCCCTTAATACTAATATTCTTCCTGTTACTCCAGTTCATACGCTTTGTCATTTTCTTTTCACTCCCTCCTCTCCTTTGGCATCTACATCAAACCCCAGTTACCAAGTGCTGCCAATTCTTTTTTCAAGAGAGTTATTCCTATTTATAACTTGCTATGTCCTACTGAGAAAAATATGAACTGGATCTGCATAAATTTTTCTTTTGATATAAAACCAGTGCCTGTTGATTCTGCCTTGGAAGAGTAACATCCAAATTTGCCAAGCCCAGATCTCCCAGCATTAACTATCTTAATTCTTTTATCTGTCCCTTAATGCATGATCCCACGCTAACGGACACAACAAAGGGTACCGTTTCCTCAATGTGAGACTACACTTTTTAGGGAAAGTAAGAGTTGTACAAAAATCACAGAAATGGTGTTTCAGCAAGATATAAAAGGTTGACTTTTCTACAAAGCACAGCTGTGATTATAGGTTATAAAAAGCAGCACTCGGCTCTTAGCATTAACAATGTATTTCTTCTAAGAAAGATGCAAAAACATTTGAAAATAGGTGTCTGGATTTTATTTATCCCATGTGTCCACAAAGGGAGACAAGTCACCTGTGTTGACCCACATGAATAGGTATAGGGTATCTACATTAAGATAATAAAATCCACAGGGAAAATCCAAAGGAACCTTTCCATCCAAACCCTAAAGCCATCATGGGTACGGGTGTACCAGAAAATGTTGCCTAACACACCTTCATTTTAAAAGCATCCTATTTTCATTTTTTGTTTTGAGGATGTTTCTTCCCTCCTGTGCCCCACACTTTTAAAAAAGAAAACTGAGCTTCCCCTCTCCTAAAATCACTCTGGGGGCGACTCCTTGGATATCGTAGAAAGCTTCCTCTGGTGCCACTAAACGTCACCTCCATCTTCAAAGCAATAAATGTCAGAAGAATGTTCCCTTAAGAAAAGTCAGTCTAGGGGCACCTGGGTGGCTCAGTCGTTAAGTGTCTCCCTTCGGCTCAGGTCATGATCCCGGGGTCCAGGGATCGAGCCCCACATAGGGCTCCCTGCTCCGCGGGAAGCCTGCTTCTCCCTCTCCCACTCCCCCTGCTTGTGTTCCTGCTCTTGCTATCTCTCTCTCTGTCAAAGAAATAAATAAAAGATAATAAAAAGAAAAAGAAAAGTCAGTCTAAAACAATCATTTGCAATGTCTTCTACAGACTTCCCCATTTGGCTGAAAACATTTCTCTCTGGGGATAACAGAGACATGGAGAAGGAACCGCCAGGACCTGGGAGTTAGCGTGAGACAGGACGGACCGGAAGGGTGAGAAAGCTGGGGCGCACAAACGAGGCAGGGGAGTCCTGCCTGGACTCCAAGGGTGCTGTGCACTTCTGGGGCCTCCCAGAGCTCCTCTCGAGGTGTCATTAGCAGGCGTTAAAACAGCATTTAGGCTGGGAAGCAAAGGCTCCCCAGAGAGTCCATTTTAGCAGCAGGTGGAAGGAACTCTCTGGAGTAGAAGACAACATTTTCTGATCACTGCCAGCCCGCTTTCTAGAGATCACGGATGCCAAGAGCAAGGATTAGCTCAGTCTGGAGGACAGCACTGGCGAGGGCCGGCATGCAGGGGTACGATACCTAAGGTGGGTGCACTGGCACTTCGTTTACGATCTTCCGAGATCCCAACAACGCACACAATCACACGCAGCCCAATGGAGAGAACACAGGAGAATGACAAAATGAAACACAGCTCAAACTCCTACTCACAAAATACACACAGTGGGAGGACAGGCAAGCACCGTGCTGTGCTTCCAACATCGCAGACTCCATTAGCAGGGTCAATATGGGGCCAATCTGCCTTACTTTCAAAACAGGTGAGAAGCTGTTTACAGTGAAGTCAGAGAGGGTCACGGCTTTTGGTCTTTCCTCTACATTCCTGCTCCAACACGGAGGGCAGGGTGACAGTCTACACAGAGCTACCTTGACCACTGAATTAAACCCATGGGGGCAGTTTCTTGCGAACTTTCCCCCCAACTCATCCACCTCCGTTACTGAGAAAGAGAAACTCACAGGCCGAAGAACAAGGGAAGGGAAGAGATCGACCTTGTCCTCACTCTGAGCGAATTAAGGTGAAGGCACGTTGGCCATACGTACCCAAGTTTGGTGCACTCGCAGTCCTCTTGTTATTTTTTATTTTAAAAAAGCCACGCCCAAAGGAAGATCTAGCTTTCCGAGTGCCAAAAGGGTTGTCGTCCACGGAGGCATCATGTCCTGGAGCTTTCGGAGGGAGGCTCCCAAACGGGCTGCTTTCTACTGGAGCTTTATCCTGAGAGAGAAGTAATAATAAATGGAACACGGCACTGCTCTGCACGATTATGAGTACGCGCTGGGCGCAACACCTGCTATGTTACACATATGATTTCATTTAAAAGAATCATGGAACTAACAAGTTGATTATGAACATCTGGTGCCATATTAGAAGCCTAGAAAGTCAATTCTGAAAGCTAGTTAAGAAGCAATGGCAGCAGCAGCAACAAAAACATGCTCTTCACTGATCTATAACCCGCACACGTGCTTAGGACGTGAAATATTTAGGATATAGAAATTCTTAAGCTTGGGGCACCTGGGTGGCTCAGTCGTTAAGCGTCTGCCTCTGGCTCAGGTCGTGATCCCAGGGTCCCGGGATCAAGCCCCGCATTGGGCTCCCTGCTCAGCAGGAAGCCTGCTTCTCCCTCTCCCACTCCCCCTGCTTGTGTTCCCTCTCTCGCTGTGTCTCTCTCTGTCAAATAAATAAATAAAATCTTAAAAAAAGAATTCTCAAGCTTTATTTGAAATTCATTTGCCTCATTCCCCCAAAGACATGGAAATAAGATATTACATAACCAGAATACCAGAAGACTTATTTTTCTAACAATTACGACACAGATTGGGCTATAATACAGTTTGCAGTCTTTGTACTGTAACTGCATCAGTAGAAGCCCAACATAATATAATCACTCTGCAAAGCAGGCATTAGCCCCAAGCTTCTACACCAACAGCAGAAAGAGATTCTACTCTAGTTATTTTAAACATTCTTCTCAAGGAATTAATAGTCAAATGAGGACACAACCAGTGACTGTTAAACATTTTTCTTTTTTGAAAGGGTGTTCTGAGATATATTCATTATCTTGCCTGCAAGTTACCCAACACGGATCACCAATTTTCAAAGACTGTGATACATTCAGATACACTTACCATCAAAACTAAACTTGCTATAATTAAATTTTTCTTCATTGATTCAGAAGACACTTTGGCTGTCTATAATATTTCAAGGTCTTTATTGAGAACCTTAACTGTAATTAAGTTATAGTTCTAAGTACTAAACTGTTTACTTTTTAGCTTTCTCGTTATTGGAGTTTGCAGTTACAGTAACCTGATCTATTATACTGTTTTAGTATGATCCAAAGATGCTTCTGCTTGCATGCTCTCATTCCTCTAACATCTCCTACCCTCTGTTTCTTTTTTTGCAGAGGTGGACAAAGGGGAGAGGGGGCACAGGCTTTTAAGGTGGTTATTTTATCCTACCTATTCATTGCTCATCGTTAACTACAAGTTTATAGATGCCACGGTTTAGTGCTACTATTACCTACGTCTCAATCCAGATGTCAAAATCATTTAATCATTTATTGAACTGGCAAGACCAAAAAAGACAGGGCACGCCTGGAACTACAGCTGTGTGTACGGTCTGTGCCTCATCAGGGGTACCTACATTATGACTCAAGGCATTCAGAGCCGACAGTCGAGGGAGTGCATCTGGAAGTAGCCTGTCTACCAGAACGTAGCCTTTACAAAGGTAATGGTTGAAAATCAGGGGAAAGAAGAACGAGAGCCATTCTTGATGAGGTCTTAAAAAAAACAAAACACCAAAATGTTTGCTGTATACAGACAGTGGTTATATTAAATAAATGTTTTCAGATGGGTGATCTAAGGACTTTTCGTGAGGTCTTAGGAAGCCCAAATATGATCACTAAGAACATCAGTAGACTGATTGAGAGTTGGGCTTTTTTTTTTCCCCCCAACAGTTTATTGAGGTGAAACATAAAAAGTAACTATTCTAAATTGAACAATTCAGTGCCATTTAGTACATTCACAGTGGTGTGCATGTGCCACCTCCACCTAGTTCCAAAATGTTTCCAACGTTCTAAATAAAACCCCTTACCCAGGAAGCAGTTTCTCGCCATTCCTCCCTCTCTGTCTCTGGCAACCACCAAGCTGTGTTCTGTTCTACGGATTTATCCACTCTGCATATTTCACATAAATGGAATCATGTACTATCTGATCTTTTGTGTCTGGCTTCTTTCATGTAACATGTTTTGGAGGTTCTGAGCTTGGGTTTTTTGGACACATTTAAGCAATCACATGTATCAGATGTCTCAAACATTTTTACATTATAATCTGGACATAAAAATTACCTCTGAAGGCTTCTGAACAGACTCCTTTTCCTGTTCAAAACAACAATATTTCAGATTGTTACAGGAATGGCTTTATATATTCACACTCTGTCACATACAATTCCAGAAATTAAAATAAACTTACGTCTACTTCTAAACTACACAATCTCAGTTCCATTTATTCCCAATAATGGTTGAAATCTTCAGTTTTGATTGTATACACTACTTTCAACCCTTCATATTCATACTTCTTAATATTTACCCATTAACCATGGTATCTAATAAATTTGCATTATAGAAACCACAAGCTCTTCTTAAGAGTTTTATTTTTAAGATGGGAAAATGTGAAGGTCCCTAAATATTTTCGTCTCAGGGTAACAGACAGAAAAAAACACAGGACCAACCCCGTCTGATGACTCTTTCTTCAGATTGCCCAGGCTGCTGGACTTGTGCAGACTTGAAATTCTAAAAATAACAATAATAGTAATTAGGATTAATGATAAGTGGCTCTGGTGCTGCTGTTTCTTAGGAGCATATCTTGGAAAGAAACTAAAACTGTGTGTGGGTTGAATCCTGGTCATAAAAGAAAATCTGGATTCAGGCACTCACTTATGTGCTTAACTAAATTATAACGTTGAGTTCTTTTAAAAGCAGAGGTGGTTAACTGTCCTGCCAATAACTCTGAATGTCTCGCACATGTTAGAATAGCTGGAAAAACACTTAGGACTCCCCTTGTGATGTCAATATTTGAAAATAAACCAGCGTTTTTCCATGGACTAGTGGTGCATCCCTTCATGTATACATTGAGACAAGGAACTTTTTTTTATTTTAATTTTTAATTTTTATTTAAATTTTAGTTAATATGCCAGGGAACTTCTAAAATACTCACATACTATTTCCATATAATCCTTGTAATTAAAATAAAGGGTGAAAGTGTTATTTTTTAATTCACAAAGGAATCCATTTTCTGAATCTGGCCAAGTACTTCATTTTATAGTTTTGATCAAGGCATACAAGAAAAATCCCTATTGCTGCCCATAATAATTCATTTGCTATCTTTGTAAAGGCAAAGTGACACCGTAAACTTCCAGAGATTCAAGTATATAGGGCTGGTCGTCTCTGAAGGCAGGAATAGGTGACCAGTTTAGAAAGAGAGAGAAAAAAGTAATATCTCTGCTCTAAGAAGTAGAATAACATACACATACAAACAAACCTTTAAAAGGCATTTCTCATGTACTTATATGTACATAGTTGCTAGACATGTCCAATACCAAATAAAAAGATAAGGTGAGAAAAGAAAAGATCCCATCTTTGAGTACTGCTCTGAAAATAGATTTTCCTAACTTAATACAGACTTGAACTTGAGTAAACATAGATACTGGGCCGGTTTACTACACAGAGAGTGCAAAAAACCACTGCAGCCTCTCTAGCCATCACATCGTTCTCTGTGACTCTTTTCTGCTAGAGTCAAAATGCAAGCCAGTGCAAACCTGAAATTCAAAGCATTGCACTTCACACGAAAACGGATGAAGGAAGGCTAAAGACGTGCCACACTTGGCACGAGATAATGGACAACGGTCGATAGGCAAGTATTTCTTTGTTAACTCACAACCCCCCACCTCCCTCCACATCCAGCCATTACACCTGCATTAATGTATTCAGGCCTCAGTCACGCGCTTCTCCTCGTGGTTATTGTTAGTGTAACAGACGCTTCCTCTCTCCCAGGTATCAGTGACATTTTTCACATTCAATAACATAACTTACGAAAGACTATCACAAGGCTCGGTTTCAACAGCAGCACCAAGGATTATTTTTCCATCGCTAAAAGGGAAAAAAAAAAAAAAGGAATGTGTGTGCTTCACGAGTAAAAGGCCATATAAAAGACCTTATATATTCTAAGCAAACAGAACTGTCAAAAACAAAAAATCGTGCTAGGGAGCTATTTCTCTTTTAAAATATTCTCTCTCTCTCTCTTTTTTTTTAAAGTAGGCTCCATGCCCAGCCTGGGGCTTGGACCCACAACCCTGAGATCAAGACCTTAGCTTAGGTCAAGAGTCAGCTGCTAAACCTACTGAGCCTTGCAGGTGCCCCTCTCTTTTAAAATATTCTATTTTCTTTTATTTGGTCTAATTGTAAGATTAAGTAATTGAGAATGGGTTCCCTTAAAATTCTACTTGTCAGTGGAGAAACTATTGTATCCCTGACCTGAATCCTTCTTCCGAACAGCCTCAGGCACAGGATTGTTGCTATGGGGCTTGAGCCCCATTGACAGCCCCCACCGCCGCCCCGTGACTTAGGACATAAAACCCAAGTGCTCTAAAACCCCTCTCTAACTTGACCATCACACCTCCCCAGCCTCACCTCCTATGACTTCTTGCTTCACACCCTTTATTTCAATAATACAGAACTGACTGCAGTTATTGATTCACACTGGTCCCTTGGCACATACCTTACTGTTTCTTCCCTTGGGGTAAAACCTATGTCTGTAAATAAATGCAATATACCCTGGTGTTTGCTTGATCTACTCTGTTGAACATTTATATTGCAATGTTGGGTCATAAATGACATACCTTTCTTCAAATGAAGTCTCTGGTTGAGGAGGCAATTTTGCTTTTTCAGAAGCTTCCAAGCCCTTAGATGCTGGCAATGATAAAGGGATTGAAACTTGCAAGATGCTGGTGTGGAACTGTAATGTAATTATAGAAAGTCAAAAATCCATCAAACAAGACATAAGTCACAGAGGAAAAAAAAAAAACTGGTGAGACAATGATATGGTCTATCAATAAAATTTCATACACCTGTGTTTAGAACACTATTCTTATATTTATAAAATGGTCTCGGGATATAAACATCAACAAGTGTTCATCAGAGAAAACATTCTGGAGGAAGGTCATTTTTGAACTTGGTTCTGAATAAAACATAATAAATACCATCAAGTGAGTCAATAGCTGATCCTTGACAACTTTAAGCCCTGTTTAAAATCTTGGTTCTAACCTTAGGTAAGCCACTTAACTGGGCACCAGTTTTCTCCTCTGTAAACTGAGAATGGCAATGCCTATCTTGCAGGGTTGTCATGATTTGAGATGAGATTTGGGTAAAGTGCTTTGTAAACACACTTCTGTTTTCACTTTGTTTTCTACCACTAGTCTAACATAGAATGTTGTTCAAACCAGTTCTTTGTGGATACCACTTAAGACACTTTGCTTAATAACAATATTGCAGCAGCAACAACAATAATGCCTAAGACATCTTCCCAAACAAATGCTTTGTGTATCCTACGGATGGAATCTATGAAAGAAATTTTATACTCTGGTGTTGAATAATTTCCGACGACCGCAGAGCAGTACAGTGTGAGAGCCCATCATAAACTAGTAAGTGAAACACTTAAAAAATATTGTGATAAAAAAATAAACAAAATTTACCTCAGTGAATTCACTTTGCCAGTCAACCAATTGGTGACTGCGCCTCCCTTCTGAAGTCAGACAGGAAGGGAGGGACTCACACCCGTGAACACATTTCTAGATGCCAATCAATCAACGACAGTCTCGCCTTTGTAATCACACATCCACAGCTGATGTCAACTCACTCCAGCCTCTGAGAGTCCATCAATCCCTGAGCTCCAAGCATCCCCCACTCCCCACATTTGATCAAAGAGACTGTCCTTGACCAACAAAGTTCACCTAGCTAACTCAATAAGCAATACATTTAGCTTTGTGATTTTTTGTTCCAGTTATTGAGTGGTGGTCTCATCCCTTGACACTAAGAGGTTATAACATGTGAAGTCTATTAAAATAATCTGACTGGGCCCAAGATGGAGTAGCTCGCATCAAGCTCCATGTCAGCAAACACAAACTTAGCTAAGTTTCTGGGCTCAGCGCTCCCAGAAAAGGCAGGCCTCGGTCAACCAGTCAGCACTTGCCTGCTCTGCGCAAGTTACCTGACCCCCCTCCAAGACTTCCCTTTGCTGCACATAAGGAAAGTAACCCAACTTTAACCAACCATTAATGCCTATAGCATGACCCCCTGCTCCTGCCTCCTTCTGCCTAAAAAAAAGCCTTTCATTTGCCTGATTCATAAACTGCTGAATAAAGCCAATAAGGTGTTTCAAATTTACTCTGTTGAATTTTGTTAACAACAAGTCCTATTATTGTAAAATAGATTACTTCACTATGTTTTTTTTTTTTTTTTTAATGTGAATCTTTATGATTAGTTCTGGGCAACTTACTGAGCCATCATCCCTGTGTTTTCAAGTTCACAGTAGCTCCCTGGGTTCCTAATCGTGGGGGAGGAAATGGCTCCACTAACAAACTCACGCGTTTTCTTGATTTCATTTTGAACTTTAGGGCTTTAACTCCAGCTCACATAGCCAAGACTTTTTTTTAAGGCTATGAGACTATCTGGGCATATCTTACATGTGACAGCTGCTGTTCTGTAAACAGGGAGCAAGCACACGCATTGGCTGTCAGATGTTATTTTTCCCTTCAGTATAAATAAAACAATCAGGGGATATTTTTTTTCCCCTTCTAAAATATTTCTTATTCCTTAACTAATTCCTTGCCTTTTTCTTCCAATTTTATTGAGATATCACTGACATGCAGTACTGTATAAATTAAAAAAAAAAAGAAAGAACACATTTTTTTTTTCCTTGCGATGAGAACTTTTCGGATCTACTCTCTCAGCAACTTTCCGACATACCAGACAGCAGGGTTAACTACAGTCATCATGTTGTACCTTCCACCCCCAGCACTCGTTGGTCTAATAACTGGAAGTCTGTGCCTTTTCACCACCTCCCTCCAATTTCCCCTACCCACTGATTCCTTATGAATGACATCTTGTAGCCCTCTCCTACATTGAAGAGAGAAATGTTACTCGTTTCCTCCTTGAATTCATTTTCATTCAACTTTCATTTTCTCATTAGGTAATTAGCAGGAACAGATACAAAAAGGAAAGATGCCACTTGGTTTCCTCTCACCACGTAGAGTAAAATGTTAAAGAAAAGCTGAACAAAAGAGGAAATGGAAAACATAAGGGAGCCGAGATTGTTTAGTTAAAATACAAAAACAACCTTTCCCATTCCTCGTTTCTCTAGACAGCACACTGCACTAAAATTAAGAAACGTTTTTAGGGCAAAGAGGGAGGTGTGCCTTGGTTAAGACCTCAGGAAGACTTAAGGTAGTGCTGTCTCATTGAAACCTTCCAAAAGATCAACAACTCTAAAAGTAGAGGGATATCCCACGGCAGCCTTACAGAGACTTAAGACAGAGAAAGGCTTATTGTGAAGATATCTACGGGTATGCTTTACCTGGTGGAGTGGATTATAAATTAATTCATGAGAAATTCCAAATGAATAAGATATTACACCATATTAGACCAACAGGGACAGAGACAGCAGGAGGTAGAAGACCCTTGACCTGTACAGACACTTTTTACAGAAAACAACTCATCTGCAATTACAGGTTCCTCCTCCTGGAAATGAAAAGATGACTCACAAGGAAGAACAGAGATCCCAAAGGACTGGGCCCTGTCAAGGAGCTGGCCACATGGGCCTGGTTGGATTTGGAACTGCTATGGACTGATGACCCCTGTGTGTCTTCCATTTTCCCTCTTTTTTTTTTTAATGGGAATGCCTAGCAGTTATTATGCCTATCCCACCACTGTATGTCAGGTGCATAGGGGACAAACATGTCCTGCTTCTTGAAAAGGAATTGAGTGCTACTCAAGAAGTTGTGCCCGCGGAGCTGCACCTACATCTTGACCTGGTCTGGATGACAAGGTCCTGGGATGCTGATGCCTAACTGGAATGAGACTTTGAAGAGGGGATGAATATATTTTGCATGGGAGAGGGATGTAAATGATTGTAGCCACAGAGTGGAGGGGCAGATTGTACTATTGGAATATGGTTGCACGGGTATACGCCATCCCACGTGTTCTTCTTAAATGTGATACTGTTACTTGTCATCAAGAGGTAGGGTCTATGTTTCCTCTCTGTGAATGTGTGTGGATCTGTGACTACAGGAGAAGAGATGCTACATGACTTCCGAGTCATATCAAAAAGGTGATATAAATTTGCCCAGTCCTCTTCTTGGGATGTTCATCCTTAGGATTTAAACACTATGCTAGGAGAAAGCCAAGCAGTCATGTGTATTTCCAGTCAGGGCCCCAGCTGAGGTCCTGGCCAACAGTAGCCCCAACCATGCGATATACAAATGGGTAGCCTTCAAGTGACTCAAGCCCCCAGCCTTCACGCCATCCTGACTGATGCCCAGTAGAGCGAAGAAGAAATGTTCCTGCTGAGCCTTGCCCAAATCACAGATTTGTTAGCAAAATAAATGTTGTCATTCAAGGCACAAATTTTTGGGGTGGTTGTCAATAGATAATGGAAACAGATTTTGGCACCAGTATGATGTGAAAGAAAAGTAAAGGAGTTGAAGACTAAATATTCCTGTCCAGTTGCTTTTTTTCCCCATGTCTAAAGAAGTCAGGGAAATTTTACTCCAGCATTTTTCAGAGGCACTATCAGAAGTGACTAAAACCAACCTCTTTATATAATCTCACTTTATCTCCCTTCTTTTATTCTCTATTTATCCTTTAATAATAAAGATTATTATTATGGAGATTGTAATCTATTTAGGATGACATCTTTCTCCCATGTTTTTCCTGAATAATTTAAACAATTTTGACATTGCCCAAGGTATTTATTTATTAAAGAGGTATTTATTTATTAAAGGTATTTATTTATTAAAACACACCTTTCACATAAAGTCCTATGAGACACTGAGTCTTGACACAAAAATTGCCAAGACTCAGTCAGTAGTCGCACTGAGAAAAGATCCTATGTCTTTCATGCTGTCAACAGCATTTTAACCTTCAATGACACAGTCTCTTCACTATGAAGATAATGTTGAGAGTCTGTAAATACCTCTTCCGGAACACTTGTGTTAAATGGGTCACGACTGGGAGATCCCATGACTGGTGTAGGCGATAGACTTTTCTCCAGGTCACTAAAACCCTGCGCATCCAGCAAAGTGGAGATGGAACCGGAAGTGAGCAGATCTTCAAAGTCGCCATCTTGGCCTGGGTAAAGGCAAAGCCAAAGGAGGACAACGGCAGCTTTTCATTTACATTTCACTTTTGGAGGAAGAATACCAACTGAATATAAAAATTTTTCTCATCCTTAAAAATCATAGAGTCAGCTTCTCCTGAAATCCTTAGAAAAATAACAACAGGGACCCTAGGAAACCATGTTAAATTATGAGCACCTGAGGCTCGGGGGTGGTATTAATAGATACCCATCACAGACTCACAGCATTGAAATTAGAAGTTAATTTGGTCCAACAATCCTCCCTAATTTTGTTTCAGAATTTGGGGCTTTATAAATTTCAGTTCAGAAATAACCAAGCTGGAGGATACCAGTGGTACAATAAACTAATTCTGAACAGCAACACAGTCACCATGAAACAACTCAATATTCACCACTACTGTGTTCTTAAAAAAAAAAAAAAAATAACAAAGAAAAGAGGAAAAGAAAAAAAAAGGCAATCTTTTGATTCCTTAAGATGATCCTTCTGTGCCATTTATTTTAAAGCAGAAAGAATAGCCTTATGGACAAATGTAACCACATATCCAGCAGAGCAGCCAACTTTGAGAATTTCTTTTACATCTCCAGCAATGAAAAGGATTAGGTGCTGAACAAACTGTGCCAGATATTATTTTTTAAAACCAAAAAATGATGCTTAAAACACTATTCTCTGAATAATACAAAATGGCAAATCATATACTCATTTAAAACTATTAACTAGACTTAGCTTAATTTAGATTTTATTATTTATTCTAATTTTTCATTAAAACGTAGGTATTATTAGCATTCTCTAAGGACTAAGTAAATATAAATCCTAGTGAGAAATCACTGTTTATAAACTCTTCATTAGAACAGGACATAATTTTCAATGGTGGTTAAAAACTACCTCTTTTTGCTACACGTTTTATATGCATTAAAAAAGATAAAAAAATACATGAGGGGTGCCTGGGTATCTCAGTTGGTTACATGTCTGATTCTTTTTACTCTTTTTTTTTTTTTAAGTTTTATTTATTTATTTGAGAGAGAGAGAGAGAGAGAGAGAGAGAGAGAGAGAGCATGCGTGCACAGGCCAGGGGCAGAGGGAGAGAATCTTCAAGTAGACTCCCAGCTGAGTGCAGAGCCAAGGCAAGGCTTGATCTCACAACCCGTAAGACCGAGACCTGAGGGGTACCTGGGTGGTTCAGTCAGTTAAGTGGCTGCCTTCGGCTCAGGTCATGATCCCAGAGTCCTGGGATCGAGCCACGCATCGGGCTCCCTGCTCAGTGGAGAGCCTGCTTCTCCCTCTCCCTCTGCCTGCCGCTCTGCCTATCTGTGCTCTCTCTCTGTCAAATAAATAAATAAAATCTTAAAAAAAAAAAAAAAAAAGATCAGGACCTGAGCTCAAAACCAAGAGTCAGATGCTTAACCAACTGAGCCACCCAGGTGCCCCAAGTGTCCAACTCTTGATCTCAGCTCAGGTCTTGATCTCAGGGTCATGAGTTCAAGCCCCATGTTGGGCTCCACACTGGGCATGGAGTCTACTTTAAAACAAAAACAGAATAAACAAAAACCCCCCATGAAACTGACAAAAGTGATCACGCCAGTGCAATTATGAACAATACTTACCCCTTTTCTCTACTTTCTACATGTTTTATAATTACAGAAATTAATGTTTTCCCTTGATTTTTAAATATAATTATAATGTTGAGATTCTATAAAATCAAACACTGTTCTAAATGCTATGACTATGTAAAAATTAATTACTTGTGAATTTACAAAATTGTCTAAAAAGAGACACTCTCTTGAAGGTATAGAAAATGTTGAGTGATGGGAATTGCTGTAAGAACACTGGTAGAGGTTCATTTGCTTGCTCATTTGGGTATTTACAAAATCTTAACATATGCTGAACCCTGTGGACAATAAGATGAAGATCCATTTTTTTCCCCCTCAGAAATCCTCATCCAAAATAGGATTTTCTTTCTTTTTGAACTCATCAAAATTGAAATTCCAAAATCTGAGTATTTCATAAGTACCTTTGGAAAAGATTTATTACCAGTGCTTACTTTTAGAGCAAATAACCCCACCTATGCACTGCTAATGAACAAGAAGACTTTCAAAGTTCTTAACACTTTTGTTTTAAATGACCCCCCGAGATTTTCCACATTTGAGGATGGCCAACTGGACCATGCATAGATAAAATAATAATACATCAAAAGGCATGACTATTTTTAAGTTTTTAATTCTAATTAAAATACAGTGTAATATTAGTTTCAGGCGTACACTAGAGTAATTCAACACTTCCAAACATCACCCTGTGCTCATCCCAACAAGTGCACTCCTCAATCCCCATCAGAGTGTGATTGTTTTTACTTAGATGGCTTATGGTTTTGCTTTTTTTTTTTTAACTTAACACATTCAAAGCTGAACACAATCCCCCCTTAACCATTTCAATGCTCCCTCACTAGGCTTCTCTATCTTGGTAAATGGAATCATCATCCACCTGGTTTGCTTTAGTCAAAAATGTCAATCTTTCTTGATTCATTCCTCTTCTTCATTCTCATCTAATTCATCACACCACTGTGTTAATTTGAACACCAAAATATATTTCCAATCAGTACCATCATATCATTCCACGTGGAATCCTGCGAGAGTCTCTTGATTGGCTTCTCTTCCTTCCAGTACTGCTCCCTTCTCCCATTATGGTCCATTTGTTACGAAGATGCCGTGGACTTGTGAAAACCCTTCAGTGGATCCCTCTGGGCTGACAGAGCTGAATGCCTCACATTGCCTGACCTGGCCAACACTAACTTCTAACAGCTCTGCTCATCTCATCTCATTCTCTCCCTGCTCACTACCTTCCGGTCAGTCACAATGGTCTTTTTACTTCTTAAATACACCAAGCCCTTTTCCCCCATATGCTCTTTTTTTTAAAGGTTTTATTTATTTATTTTTGAGAGAGGGAGAGAAAGCATGAGCAGAAGGGAAGGGGAGAAGGAGAAGCAGACTCTCTGCTGGTCAGGGAGCCCGATGCGGGAATCTGGGATCATGACCTAAGCTAAAGGCAGACGCTTAACCAACTGAGCCACCCAGGCGCCCCTCCCCATAGTCTCTTGAACACACTGTTCTTTCTGTCTGGAATGCTATCTCATGAACTCCACACAGAGATTCTCCCTGACCAACCAATCTACAGTATTCTCATTGGCCTACACACCAAGAAAGTGTGTAGAGAACAGATGCCTAATGATACTGTTGAATGAATGAACGAATGAACTGTCTAATTTGGAATAATGGATATTCCAGGAAAATGAAACCAAATGTTAAAGTTCACAGCCACTTAAAATCAAGTAAAGTAGAAAAACCTATAGAGCTACACTACCTTTTTTACCTTGGGTCAGTACCACCGTATCTTGCATTTTCTTGTACCTATTCAGGCACTGTCGAAGATCTTCTATTTTTCGATCCTATTAATAAAATAAATTGTTATCTTTAAATTGTGACTTTAAACAGTAAAAGTAACTGCAACACAAAGAATAGGGAGACATGAATTATTTACATTATTCAAGGAATACTTCTAAACTTTAGTAGAACTGGTAATATCTAGAATAGTTTTCCTACGTACATCAGAGATAGAGAAAAAGTACCTCTAAATTTAGAGATCCTATCCTTCAGCTGCCATCTTTAAAAAACAAAAACAAAACAAGGTAATAAGATACAAAACAAAACAAAAAACCAAGAAAAAAATCAACTTTAATTATTCTCCTCTCCAACTTATGGGTCAGGTCTTGAAAGAAAGATTTACACCTCTTTATCAGCTGTCATCAATCACAATCTGGTTTTTCTCTCCCCAAAACACTCAGCTAAAAGCTTCGTCAATTAGTCATCACAGACTTTCTATTTATTAAAAATAAAGAGAACTTTTCATCCTTTTTCTAATTTGACCTCTGGTACTTGATTGCCCCACTCTTTCCTTCTTTTCATTTTTCTTTCCACTCTTTGTTTTCTTCTATTTTGATATCTTAATTCCTTGACCAGATAGTCTACTTCCACTATACCCACTATCTACCGGGCCCAGACTATAAAATGTTAGTGCTTTAAGATTTTGTCCTTTACCCTCACTCTGGTGGATTCTAAAAATGGGTTCCCTAGCTCTCCCCTCACTGGTTTTGGGCATGGACATGTGACTTGCTTTAGCCAAAGAGATATCAACAAATGTGGTGCAAGTAAAGGCTTGAAAGGTCTTTGCACATTAGGGCTTGCTCTCTGTCTCTGCTCTAGGAAACCTTGTGAGCACTATGTGAAGCAGCGCAGACTACTAGAAGTCTACTAGAAGATGAGAGATCATTCGGAGAAGAGACGCCCCAGATGGGACCAACCTACGCAAGTCTGTTAATCACTAGACACGCGAGTCACACCATCCTAGACCATCCAGCCCCATCCCACCCACCAGCTAACTGTAGAGATCAGCAAAGCCAGCCCAGACCAGAAGAACCACCTAGCCAACCATCAGAAGTATGAGAAATAATAAATGTGATTTGTCATGGAGCAAAAGCTAATTTATATATCAACTACAGTTTAGTCCCCAAAAATCTACAATTCTGTATTTCTCCTAAAATTGACGGGGTTCATTCCCTACCCAATCTATAATTATACATTAATCCCAAAATTTAGATTCACTTTCCAACTTTCTATGAGAAATCTCCTTTTAAATGTCCCATGAGCACATCGAAGTGAATGTCTCTAAAATTAAGCTCATTATTTGCCCCTGTTCCTTGAGCCTCTGCTTAGATTCCCTTAACTCTTTGAGGGCACTATCATTCACCTCGTTACTCAAACTAGAAACTTATCCTCAAATCCAAAAAAAATTTTTTTAAAAGATTTTACTTATTTATTTGAGACAGAGAAAGAGTGAGAGAGAACGAGCAGGGGAAAGGGGCAGAGGGAGAGGGAGAAGCAGGCTCCCCGCTGAGCAGGGAGCCCGATGTGGGGCTCAATCCCAGGACCCCGGGATCATGACCTCAGCCGAAGGCAGATGCTTAACCATCTGAGGCACCCAGGAGCCCTCAAATCCAAAATTTTTTTAAAAAATCTTGTCAACCTCTGTAAATATCAGCTTCATATACCCCTCCACCTTATCTCATTCTGAACTTTCCCAGCATGCACTGGGCTGTTCCGAGCCTGGGTTTTTGAGACATGTTTTGGCTCGTAGATATTTTCCTTAGACGCTTTCATTTTCCTGATGAACAACTCTTGCTTTTCCTCAGATTTGGCTCAAATATGGCCTCTTCGAAGCCTTCTGGAACTACTAAAAACTTATGTCACCCCTGGTGCTCCTAAAGCCGTTTGAACGTCTAGTAAGCCCTTGGTCAACATTGGGAGATTTGTTTGTTATTGATGCTTTTTGAGAGAGAGAAATTAAAACTAAATGAGTTTCAGTGATTATTTTTTAAAAAAGTAAAAGCTATGGGGGCACCTAGGGGGGGTCAGTTACGCATCTGCCTTCGGCTCAGGTCATGATCCCAGAGTCCTGGGATCAAGCCCTGCATCAGGCTCCCTACTCTCGGTCTCTCTCTCAAATAAATAAATAAATACATAAATAAAATCTTTAAAAAAAAAAAAGTAACAGCTACGTGGGCCCCTTAATTAATAACTTTCCTTTTTTTATTCCACAGTGGGAAAGACTAGCAAAAAGAAACCTATATATGGGTAGGCGGATAGGACAATGAGTTTATTTCCTAATAAAGAGCAAATAAAGAGAATGAAAGGCAAAAATATATAGACAAGTAAAACAGAGAAGACAAGAATTAGAGAAAGAAACAGGAGAGAAAAAGATCAAGACAAAGTTCTTTGGCATTTGCTTTTTTTTTTTTTTTTACTTCCTTGAAATGACTCTTTTCTTGGGAAAATGCCTTCTTGTCCTATTCATTAAGTAACATGAGGTAGCAGTAGTTCTGATGACAGGAGCTGAACCCGACTGTTGATGCCAGCTGGATATAGGGCTGATCAGGTAGGCCGTGAAGAAACACCTTGCTTTAAAGGTCACTGTTTCCCTGCTCTAAGCAGAATGAAGCAACCGGAGTGAAGAACCTGGAGACCTTGGCATTTGGCCAATGTAGCTAAAACAGAGCTTAGGGCCATATGTGATTTCCCAGTGCCCGTGCCTCTGTTCTCCTAGCTTCCCTCTCAGGAGAACAGAGACAATGCCTGATGTGAAAGAATCCAGGAGTGTGAAGGAAATAATAGGACTAACATCAACCCCATCATGAAGCTGAAGTCGTCAAGGGCCACCCCTTTCAGAGTTCATGTTGGCCCAGAAAGGATGCCCTATGTACGGTATCCTTTCTCTCATTTCCTGCCTGAATATCAAGCAATGATCTGAGGGCTTGTACATTTTTCCAGATTCACGGGAAGGAGGGGGAGGCAGTTCTCAGTGGAGCCAATGCTGCTGGTCCCCATTCTACACACAGTCACAGTGACAACTGCCACCACCGAGAGCGGGCACACGAGGGCAGAAAGGGAGAATGCTTGTCCCTCCACGTCAGTAGGGTGTAGGGTATGTTCTTCCAAACTGACATATCTCCAGAAAATGCAGGGAATGATCAAAATGGTGGTACACATCCACATAAATACTTTAATTTCATCTAGATACCTTTTCTTCATTTGCTGCCATCAAAGACTCCACAGCCTTTTTCATTTTTTGCACTTCAATATCTGAAAATATCACAACATCACATCAGAAGTCAGTTTCGTTAACATGTGTGACAATAACAAGAGGCTGAGTCTTCAGACTGAAATGTTTTAAGGAAACGTTTACCATCAATATCCTCTTTTGGGGGAAAATCTGAAAAATGAACACTTTCCATGTCACTTGAATGGTCATCACTCCAGAAAGTAAACAGTAAGGGAGAGAGCTAACTACCCTCTCTTGAAGCAACAGCAAAATCTTCATGAGAACACTGAAGGTGAAATTTCAGTGCTATAACCACGAAAACACGGACTTTTCAAAAAAAAAGAAAAAGAAAAAGAAAAAGAAACAAAAAACCTAGAAAGCGGTGGGGGGGAAAGCGACGAACAGTGTACATGATGACATAAGCAGAGAAAATGATGCTCAGTTTTAACCAAGATGGAGACATGAATGGCAAGAGCCTGATGGAATGTGGTATTTATAGGAGTAGTCATGCTAAGAAGCTGGTTGTAGGTTCCATACAGAAGGATAATAAGTACTTTGCTTCATCTATAAACATCATTTCCAACACTATTTTAAAATGTAAAAGCCAAAGTAAGGTAAAATGTGATTTTTGCTTAAAATCTGACAGTCAAATACAAAAGCACGTTACTTTAATAATAAAAGAACCAATATTTTAAGATGAAACATCCAACCTAAAATGAAATCACAAATTTAAAAAACTCAAACAAGCTAAGGTTACCTGCTTCTGAGGGAAAACAAAACAAAACAAAACTACTACTTAAGATAATTTTTAAAAGAGTGGTGCATTGGTCACCGCTGATATAACATTTTCAATTAAGGTATATTCTATAGAAACTGCCTTTTTTTTTTTTTTTCTGATGCCAAATTCTCTTGACTTAAGAATTCAATATCTGGAGGAAAGAGCCTATTAATTAAGGATTTATCTTTATGATATTATATAATCTGGGTTCTGTTAATCAGCCTGGGTACAATCTCTTTTCTAACACTGAGAGGGTGTGTCTAATTCCTGATGTAGAGCTCAGTGAAAAAGTGGCTACAAGACATTGAAAAGTAACTTTCTCTTCTGACCTGCTGTCTCCTGAACTACAAAGAAAATGCTTCCTCACTTCCACTACTCTGAGTGCTCTGTTGTATCCTGTGGAGCAAAAGGGCTGAATCAGAAAAAGAAAATTAGCAAAATGACCTTTTACTCTTTGTTTTTATTGTTTGTTTGTTAACCCTCTATTTTGTGCACTCTGAAGAAATGGAGAGCTTATCGATGAAGCAACTTCACATCTTTGGTGAGAGAAATGTTTTAAAACACATGCAAAGAACAGTCCAAGTAGTACTTTTGGTGAATGTAAAGGCTGATGGAAATACACCAAAAACCTTACTTTTGTCTTTGAGCTTCTTTTTAAAATTTTCATCTGTGCAGGAAAACCCATCGAATTGGAAGTTAGTATATACTTACAACAATAAATATTTTAAAAGCAATATTATTTAGTCTTTAACCTAAAATAAAGAAACTCTAACCCTATAAGAACTGAATATTAAACACTATTTTGTGACTTTAGGAATAGTACTATAATACATAATGCTCTGTGTAAGGTTAGAAAGAGCATATCATTCATCCAAAGACCTAAATTTGAGTTCCTACCTCTGTCACTTCATCTTTGTGAACCTTGATTTTCTTGTATATTAAAATTAGGTCTATGGAGTACAAGCACTCTTTATGCTCTACATGGTGAAAATACCATTAGTGATGCTTTGGTTGTTGTTACATTCCTGTTACAGGTCAACACATGGCCCTCCTGAATGTGCCCAGCACACTGCTTATGACACATTAAACTCACCCCTCAAATTCAACGACACTGACACAGTCTATCCCCCCTGGTTCAATGAGATGAGTCCACTGATCACACAGTTAGATGTTTTGCCAACATCAGATTGCCATGAACTTTCGAAACATTGCTCTCGACCCTTGTATTTATCTGGCTGTGCGTTGGTGACAAGCAGTTCACAGACCAGTGTCCCTCTTTGGGCACCACTAATCTAACACATCCTCTAGCCCACAAGTCCGATGATTCCATCTTATTCTTAAAACCCCAAAACATGACCTAACTGTGAATGTCCTTTAAAAACACACACTTCTAAGGGTGCCTGGCTGACTCAGTTGGTGCAGTATGTGATTTTTGATCTCGGGGTGGTGAGTTCAAGCCCCACGTTGAGTGCAGAGCTTACTTAAAAAACAAAAAAACGCACAACAACAATTCTATATATGCCAAAATATACAAAGGAAAAAAAATCCATTTCCTTCAAGGGTTGATGAGTTGAGCTTTCTAATCCATAGGGAATTGCAACTACAGGGATATAAAGCCAGGGTTTTCTAGAGCCAAGAAAGACATCACAGGTAACCTAATTCAACCCCTTCATTGTTCAGACCGTGAGGTTACCAACGTTCATATGATATATAAAAATGTACTAAAGCTACACTAAATGGAATTTTTTGTTTCAAAAGAGTCAGAAGCTGCTTTGGTAGCTTGCATGCCACAGTGATTTATAATAGCAAGGAAAGGTTAAACCGAATCTAGTGTTGTCAGGTGTTATGTGCATTTATATTTCCAAATATAACATAAAAAACACATTCAAGTTATTTTCTATCAAGTATAACGTACATTAAAAATTACATTCCATACAATATTCAAAACAAACCTCAATTACGAGAAAATTTTTTGATAAATCCACACGTTTTCAAAAAAACAGAATTAGCCTATTTTTGCTTTCTATCAGGTCGAGGGCTCAATCCATTATAAGAAATTTTCATTGATTTTCCAAAGATGCAAAGTCTTTTCCTCTCTTCTCTCAAAAGGGTAGGAAAGGTTTCTAAATCTCTTTGTGCTATTTCAAGTTCAGTTCAGAGGGAAATAATCCTGGGATATAATAATGGTTCCTTTTAATGCTCTCTGTCACTCCCTGGTACCACAATCTGAACAAGAACTCTCTTGGGAGAATTTACAACTTAGTAATCTAAAACAAACACCCGATAAAGTACAGAGTTGCCCTTCTCCAGCTGCTGAAGAGGAAGCTAATAGATCCCCAGGCACAGGAAAGAGTCTCCAAGGAGTCCCTGCTGTCTTGGGCTTAGCTGGTGTCCGCTAGCCTTCCCCCTTCTCTGAAATGACATCTCACTAACACTGGGTTCTTTTGCAGGTGTAAAAGATGTAAAGGAGTAAGGGAGAGAGGGTTGCATAGGGAGGATTCTAACAAAGTAAGAGAACAAATGTCAAATGTATGTACCCACCTCGATCAAGAATTTCCACCCCCTCTCCTTTCATCTTGCACACCAATTTTTCTTGTAGCCTTTTTACTTCAGATTCCTTCTCCTCCAGTTTTTCTTTTAAAGATGTCAGTTCGTCCTACAAATGATAAATTCATTTCAAAACAGTAGATTATGACTAAAAGAGGCTATTCAGGGAGCATGTTAACTCTTAAATCAGTAATTAGTTTTTGGGAATGAAACAAAAAACGATAGGAATCTAGATGCAGACTTCAGAAACCAGACAGTGGCAATGGGAAGCAGGAAGCAAGACAATTAATGAAGGTCAATGTATAATAATTCTGGCATAGTGTTTCAAGTTTCTTTGTGACCGAATTAAAACAAAATCTTTTCAAGTATAATTCGGACCAGGGTAGCCCTAAGGTTTAAATCTTATGTTAAATAAATAAATAAAAAAATCTCCCCAAGTTAATCAAGGATGATAATCAAATTAGACACTTAAGTGTCATAAAAGCAAAGTAAAACGCAAATTGGAAAATATATATTAAGACTTGACTGAGATTTATTTAGTATTTCGAGATGGCACCCATGTTCCCTGGACAAGGCAGAGCTTAATTAATGGGTAAGGTAGCAGGTGATGAACAATGTTAGGCAAATCATGGGACTAAGTAATTCATCCTTATCACCAAAATAAAAGAACAGAGTCTCCTACAAGAATGGAAAAAAAGATTTAACAAACAGATTTGAAACCCCCCCCTTCTTTTTTACTACATAGCTATTAAAGATTCCAAGTCCAATGTTCTATTTACTAATGTTTTAATTTTCAGTTTAATTTTGGTGAAGAATTAGCTTTAGCACTGAAATTTTGCTGGCTGTATTTACACAGAAAATAAAGCTACGCAGTGCTAATAAACGTACTTTTATATTTCATAAACATTTTATTTTCGGTCTCAAAATGTATGTATTATGGTTAGTACTATGAGAAGATCTCCAATGAAACAAGAAAGCTGGCCCTATACTTTTTACTTATGATAGGCGTGGATCCCAAGTACAAGGAATTTTCTTTCAGTAGCACTGGCAAGAAGCTTCTTTTAAGCAGTAATTTCAACTCACTGCCATGATATAGTTAAACTTTAAGAAAGTCCCAAAGGAAGAAGCAGTCTTTGCTACTGATGCAAGACAGATTTTTTTCCCCCCACAGGTGGCATTTTTGCAACTATTTTACCATATGTTTGGGTCTCGGAAACTCTAAGAGGGTGAGATCTAATTTATTAATGAATACTTTTATTATTTTTCATTAATTATTTCATATGTTTCTGAAAACAACATGAGGGATCTCACTGTCCCTTTCATCAGCTTTAAATGTATTTTTAAAAAATAGATGACACACACACGATGAATGCACATGCTACTAAAAACACTATCACGGCAAAACAGCACAAGCCAGAAAGCAAACAGGCCCAGGACCCCAGTACCCAAAGTCTACTACACCTTCAGTGACTCCCATTTTTGCTCCATCCGCTGCTTTTCATACTGCATCTGACCCACCTTGATTTTCATGCTAGAAAGTTTGGCCATTAAAGACTGGTAGAGAGACAGAGGTGTGAAAGAAACCACAGATAGAAAAAGACAAGCCTAAATATCCAAGAAAATAGTATCGGTTTATAAAGGAGGTTAGGTTAACTAAGAGAAATAACAGGTTATATTTTACTAGATTAGTTAAAGCCCCGATTGTTATCCAGAATAATGGTGTTCCAAATTCAAGAAGGTCTCCAGCTTGGGGGAAAATTTCATTCACTTGTAAAATACCTTCTTTATCATCTACTGAGTTGAAAACTTATATTATTGATCGTAGATAAGTGAGTCTTGTGTTTACAAATTTTTGCCTTTGAGAAAACTTACTTTGGTTGATTTCAGCTTTTTTTCATACTGAAGTCTTTCATTGTCCATTTCACTGACTCTTAACCTCAAATCATTGATCTCTTGCATTAGCCCCTGTCAAAGAAGAAACAATGAAATGCGTTAGGAAAGTGGCAACACAGCTATCTTTGCCAAAATAGCAGCTTGGAGGTCTGAAGTCAACAGCGTCTGAGTTCAAGTGGTATGAATTGGATCAGACAAATGGAAATAAACATGTATCTCCTCGAGACCCAAAGCATCTTTCTAGTTAAAACACTAAATTCTCAATGCCTCTGGCCTACAATGATGGGATTATGGAAATAAAAGGTAATTTTTAAAAATTTAAATTAAATTAATTAACATATAATGTATTATTAGTTTCAGAGGTAGAGGTCAATGATTCATCAGTCTTATGTAACACTCAGTGCTCATGACATCATATGCCCTCCTTAATGCCCATCACCCTATTACCCCATCCCCCCACCCACCAGCACCCCTCCAGCAACCCTCAGTTTGTTTCGGATGATTAAGAGTTAAAAGGTGACTTTCAATTTTGATTAAGAAAGGTAGCTAATCATGTACCATCAATCATCAGCTATTCCTGGACTAAAAATCACCATATAGATTCCATCTTTTTAAATTAACTAGAAAAATTTTCTTTAGTAAAGCCATCTACTTTTAGGGCCTTTCAGTGATATGTGGATTATTTATAAAAACATTTTTATAATTTCTTCTTTTGCCTAACAAAAATATAGATTGTTCATCAACCCAGTCTGGGAGAATAGAATGGAATTTCAATCTTTTTTTGTTTTTTTTGAAATGTGAATCTTTTAAACCAAGGATTCTCAACTTGAGGGTAGATGACGGCCCTGTAATTTACAAATACATTGTCATAATATAATGTTATATTTGGAATAGGAAAAAGCAAATAATCCTAAGGTTTTCATAATACAAATACAGCCAGATGCTTTTTCTACTTCCACTTTAAAAAAAATAATAATAATTTGCTTGTAAAACTTGTCTAAGTGTTTTGAGAAACAGTAACATATTTTTGTCCAGAGCCTGGACAATAGGAAAAGGGAATCAGAATGCCACACAATACCAACTTCAATACTGTGGAGAGGATTTATTTTTTACTACAAGCCATCAAGACCCCACCAATGGTTAATGTGTTTTTAGTCCTCATTTTTACAAGTCCTCTATTCCTGAGCCATAGCTTAACAGATGACATAATTATACAAAAATGCCACAAAAAAGAAACAACACTAGAAGAAATAAACCTTTCTTACTAAACTATGCATAATGATTCACACGTAGAGAAAGGGATGGCTTTCCTAATTATATAATTACTTAACAGTAGTGTATCATAATTACTCATTAGTTATTATAATTATTTTCTTTTTTTTCTAAAGAGCGCACACATGTGCACGCACATGGGGAGAGGCAGAAGGAGAGAATTTTCAAGCAGACTCCCCACTGAACACGGAGCCTTAGGCGAGGCTCCATGAGCTCCTGATCTGAGCCAAAATCGAGTCAGAGGCTTAACCGACTGGGCTATCCAGGCACCCCTATTATAATTGTTATTAACACAGTGTCTCAGTAAAGGAACATCTATTTTCCTTTGAGGTCAGGCACTGTTTGACATCATTTAATAACATTTTAGACGTGTTCAGAATTCAAGTCTAGGGAAAAAGTCAGTTTCTCCCGTTTATTTACCTTCCATTTATTAATCATCCTTGCATACTATGAATTCTTAGTGATCTTCCTTCATCTGCCTGGTCTTTTTAATATATATCTTTCCACTTTCTCATGGTTAGCAGCTTTGAATTCCTATTTGGTATTGTTTTATTTTACCACTTCTTTTAGAAATAGTGACAATTTGCAAAAAAGAAGTAATTGAAGAAAACAGAATTATAAATTGAAATAATTTTTCTCTTAAAAAAAAAAAAAGCCCTACCCAAATATGCCTTGTGGCAACACTGTAACTATGAATATAAATCTCCAACCTGAAAAAAGTCCTGTCTTCCCATAATAACTCAAACTGGAAAATCTGAAAATAGCTCCTTGATACAAAACTTTAAAAAAATTGAATTCCGATTATTTCTAACTAATTTCTTATCAGAATTTCAGTTCTTTTTAAAAAGAAAATCCCTGTTACTGTTCCCTTTTCCCTCTCAGAGAAACTCAGGCTCTACAGAAAACTCAATTTCTGGCATCTGTACTCTTACCAGAAGGGGGCACTGTTGAATAATGCTAAGCATCTCCTATCAGCCATACCGGGGACAGGCAAGTCTTCAAAATTCCAGGATTTCAAGGTTTTTACCCCTAATCTTTAGGAAGTGCCTATATTTCTTCTCAAATATTGGAATCAATATTTTCTTAGAAATTAATCTCCAAATAATCTAAAGTTCTAAGACAAAGTTAAAGAATTTTGGATTCCTGAAACAGCCAGGGAACCTTTTTTTTTTAAAGGAGGCTCCAGACCCAACAAGGGGCTTGAACTCATGACCCTGAGATCAAGAGTTGCATGCTCTACTGACTGAGCAAGGCAGGCGCCCCCCAAATATTTTATTTTTATTAAGGGAACAAGAATAGGAAAATGAGCATATTCAATTCAGTTTTAATTTTGAGGGCTATTTTATTTATTGTCATATGTAACAAAGTTGATCAGATTATAGTTTATAATCTCTCGGTATGCATATTATTTTTTACCAATAGTATTGAATATTTATTAGAAAATTATCAAGGATTGAGTTTATTGAAAGTTTGATGACAGGATCACTTTGCTTATGATTGAAAATGCATGAGTGAAGCAAGGAAGCACCAGAAAAAAAAGTTTTATAAAAAAAATGCAGACAGAGGTGCCTGGGTGGCTCAGTCAGTTAAGCCTCTGACTTGATCTTCGGCTCAGGGTCATGGCATAGAGTCCCAAGACAGGGTCCATGCTCAGCGCAGAGTCTCTTGAGATTCTCTCTCTCCTTCTCCCTCTGCCCATCCTCCCACTCACACGAGTGCACTCTTTCTCTCTCTCTCAAATAAATAAATAAAATCTTTTTTAAAAACACAGACAAACTCAAGAGATGTAAATACTGCTCTGGAGTCCTACCAAAAAATCATAATGCATCCACTTCAATTTAGTCCTAACGTTTGGTTAACATCTCAGATCCAAATTAACCAGTCGTGCAGGTTAAGACTCCCCCTAAACTTTATGTATACACAATGGAAAAGGCCAACTCTGGACCCGAATACTGTAACTTCTTTCCCTGCACCAGAGTAAGCTCCACAGCATATTGTCCACCTGTTGACTGAATTCTATCGCAACTGTGGGGTCAGGGAACGACAGAGAGGAAAAAGAGAAAAATATCCAAACAGATTTTTCAAGAAAGCAAAAAAGGGACAATTTTAGAGAAATTGGGTAACTTTCTAAGTTCTGTTTTAAGAGCCCTAGTCTCAATCAAGTGAGAAACACGCTCATATAGGTGACTGACAATAAGCTTTAGAAGATTAAACGTGAACTAAGTCGGGGATTTCCTTTTGCTGCTGAGGAAGTAATACATATGCTGAGACTTTCCATTAGAGTTCCATCTTTGGCAGAAAATTTAATTTTGAAAACAGCAATGGAGTAAACCTCACTAAATCCAGTCTATATAGGACTTGCATACAGTGGAGAACATACGTAATGTATCTCGTATCATGATGGTACAGAGTTGGCTTGAAATGAAAATAGAGGGGGAAAAATACTTAAATGATTTCTTCTCCCCTCCCCTTCCCTGTACCCACATTCTAATCCAGTATGAGAACTCTCCATATGCCAACCGAGGAAACAAAAGAGAGAAAAAAGAAGAGATGCCCCTAGGAGATAACAAAGTCCTGCAGCTCTTCATATTTCTTTCCAAACAAACAGATTTCACATGGATATGCGCTCTTTCCCCAACAACAAATAATAAGCAAATAAAAGACCCGGATTAACAATAAAACAGTACAAAGAACAAAGCATGGTTAACCACAAAAATGGGTACTTTTCACAAAAATATAGTGAGCTTTATTTATTTGGAATGATTTATGTGTGGAATAGACCAAAAGTAGAAGGCCAAATGAAATAAATTCTAAAAATCTGATTTTTATGATTATATAATGAAAGCATGTTCTCTGTATGTATTTTAAAACCTACTTATTATACAGCAAATAATCAGTATAAAGAGAGCTATTAGTAAAGTGATACACTTAAACCCATTATTTTCATAATGAAGAAAACCACTACAGATGGACAGAAGGACAGACAGATGAATAGAGAGAAGCTGCAAATGTCATAAAGTCCAAAGTTATTTCTAAAGACTAATGAAAGGATTAATATTTCACATCAACAGTCTCACAATAAATATTTCCATGAGCATTTAGTGATAGTCAATGTAAAAAAAAAGTCAATGTAATTAAAGATTATTCTTTAAAAAGAAGCACGGATGAACGAGAGAATGTAGTAATTAACTGCCTCTCCCTCATGCCTACAAGGAATTTCAACTTGCTCTGGAAATATGTGTATGACATATATACACACACACGCATATGTATATAAAGGGGGGGGGTTGTCACTTACCTCGGTGTCTCTGAACCTATCTTCATAATCCAATCTGTCCTTCTCTACAGCTGTCAGTTTTAGCTTCAAGTTAGATATTTCAGCCATCAGATCCAACTTCTGAGTTTCTAAGGATGTCCTACTCAGAAGCTCCTATTACAATTTAAGAGATACATTCAAAAGTTGTTTTATTATAAAGAGACACATATGGATGTGTCTCACAACTGCAAAGCAGTAACTATCAAGTCAGGAATGTGGTAAAGATTAATCACTAAACAGATAAAATTTGAAAAAATTATTTGCTTCAGTTAACCTTCATTGAGCAGAACTAAATGTATGCTTGCTTACTGGGGAGACGTACATTATGTAGATACACACACATATATAAACCTGAAATGCTGCTAAGCCTGAAGAGAACACTGACGATGACATGTTTTAAGTGGTTCAATCCTCAAAACAACCTTATAAAGTAGAAACTCCTAAAGATAACTCACGAATTATCCTTGTTCAACAAACGAGGAAGGTGAGGAACAGAGGTTAAGAACTTGCCAAAAGTCATACAGCAAGGAAATGGCAGAGTGAGTGCTCAAACTGAAACAGTCTCCCTCCAGGGCGTGCCCTATCCACTATATTATAGGTCCTCTCGTCCACAAGCACTGTGTGTGTGTGTGTGTGTGCGTGCGTGTGTGTGCTCCCTCCAGGGTGTGCCCTATCCACTATATTATAGGTCCTCTCGTCCACAAGCACTGTGTGTGTGTGTGTGTGTGTGTGTGTGTGTGTGTGTGTGTACATTACATTACAAGTTTGGGTTTTTTTTTCTTCCCAGAAGTCATATATGGTACTTATCTTTTTTCTCAATCATAAAATATATGCTCGTGTTTGGGGGTTAGGAAACCATATGAAAGTTTAAAGAAGAACATTAAAATTACCTACAGTCCTATCAATATTTTATTCCAGATTCTAATAACTTTCTATTGTGTGCATGTGTTTTGAGACCCTGCTACTCTAGGTTTTTGCTTAAAATATGCCAGTCTAGGTGAATCATGAACTTTATTCCTGCATCAGAGTGAACATGACATACAAATGCAGCACTTCAAACAGGTCAGCAAGAAAATCCCACCTCAGTGCGGGCTTCTGAACATACCTGCTGCAGCATTTCTTCTGTAGCATTCAGCTTTTCCCTGTGCTCTTCAAGACAAAACTCCAAATCTCGAATCTTCTCTCCTTGAGCCTCTACCTGGTCTGTTAACACACTTACCTGTATTAAGAGCAAAATACTGCAATAGAGTAGGAAGAATTTGGGTCCCACTACAAACTTTTAGTTCTCTAAATAGAACAAAAACTGGAATGTCACTCCCCATTTGGTTGTAAAGAAAAGAAATGCTGTGGGTAAGACAGCAGTCCTTCACAATCCTATTTAAGTGACGCTTATGGATCTGAGGACTCCAATTTTTAAGGTGATTAGGGCTGATTGGGGATATGCAATACCTTGTATTTATAGATTAACATCATTTCAACCATTATATGCAAGAGAGCATGTGAACAGATCATTCTTTTTGGGGAGAATGGGATGGGAGTGGGAGGTAGTATTAGAGATTAAGAGAGGAAATGGAGTTATGTTTGAAAGAGAAGCTGTCAAGGACTATTCAACTCTGATACTTCACGAAGAATAAAGAAAAGGACCCAGGGAATTCAAATTCCATGAGATCTTTCCTGATTACATTGTCCACAAGTGTGTTCAAATCCAAGATGTAACTCAAAGATCCACAAGGAGACACTGGATTAGTCTTTTATCCTTGGTGCTTATTGAAAATGTGAGTCGGGGCGCCTGGGTGGCTCAGTCGTTAAGCATCTGCCTTTGGCTCAGGTCGTGATCCCAAGGTCCTGGGATCGAGCCCCGCATCGGGCTCCCCGCTCCGCAGAGAGCCTGGTTCTCCCTCCCTCTCCCCCTGCTTGTGTTCCCTCTCTCGCTGTCTCTCCCTCTCTGTCAAATAAATAAATAAAGTCTTAAAAAAAAAGAAAATGTGAGTCTTTCCCCAATGATCACCAGTCTAGTAAATCTACTACAATTTATTTAGCTCAAAATACCAAAATAAAAATATTTGTCATGCATTTAAAAGTACAAAGAAGAAAACTCAAATTTAGCCACTAAACCAGACTCCATTACTCACTTAGGTTCTGTTTGGCTCATGGTATCGTTTTTAAAGTTGAAAAATTAAATATATTCAGCTTCAGAAATATGAAGATTGATGAATATCTATAGTATAAAATTGTAATTTGTGCTGTATATTAAAAAAAATCAGATCAAATAAGATGACAGATCAGATCAGAAAATCAGCTTAGATGACACTGTGTCTGTCATCAGAGAGTCCGGGATGCTCCCTCTAGACAGGGTAAGCACACCCTTGTGCTGCCACAGTCCCCACCACTCCCTATTGTGTACAGATGGCCTATGCACTTATTTCTATTAGCAGTACGGCTCCTAGAAGCATCTGAATATGCCATCCCAATTTAAAATGGTCTTTGTGAATATGTCATGAAGAAAGAGCAGCATTTTAAAATCACTTGCCTGAAGAACGAGAGATTCTTTATCATTTTCTAAACGTGCCAGCCTTTCTTGATACACCTCTCCATTCCCGGGCAGGTGTCCGTTTGTCTGAAAAGATGAAGTAGTATGTGTAAGGCCTGACTCTCTTTAAAACTAAAACTACTGTGGGCAAATAAAATGGCATACTTTTTTTCCCCCCCCAGAATCTTGCAATGGATTTTCTTTTCTTTTTTTTAATTTTATTATGTTATGTTGGTCACCATACAATACATCACTGCATCAAAAACTGGTGATGTATTGTATGATGGCATACGTTTTTAATCCAAGGAACCTGAACGGAATTCAGCACAGCTCTTGCTGCCACTAATCGAAAATATGAGCCTGCAACTTGGTTCATTTACCTCAAAATAGGTAAAAGAGGCATGCTAGGCATTTAGGCATGTTACAGACAACTTCTCATCAAGCAGAAAATCATGACCTAAAAGGAACAGTGGTTACTAACATTAATTGGCCGTGGACACACAGCTGGGTCATGCCAAGTTTTGCGAGTGTGTGCTCAGGCACAAAATCCCTAATTACCCCCTGAATGCTCAGTGCTACTAATTCTGAGTGGGGACAGTAGGAATGTCCTGGGGTGCCCTTACGTCCCTCCCCTCTCCTCCCAAGTTTCAAATCCAGGACTGCAAATGCCTGCATCGGGGATGTGGGGCAGCTCACACCAGCTTCTTCCCTGGACCAAATCACAGGGCAAGTCTTCCCTTTGTCTTTGAAGCCTTTCTTTCTTCCCCTGGAAGCTTAGGAATCAGTCCACAATGACATCCCCTCCCGCCCCCCCGCAGCACTGACTAGCTCTCCTCATGGGCACTTTATCAGTTCCCATCCTGACTTGACTAACTTCTTGTGAGTTTGCTCGATTCTATAATGTTATGCCAAGCTCCTGCACAGAGCCTGGAAACAGGTGTTGTCCTGCAACCACAGCACTGCCCCGGTGCTCTGCTTAGACTTGCGCTTGCTTTCTTCCCCTCCCTCTGGCCCCGCACCTTTTAATCAGATTCGGACAAGTTTATGCACGGTAAAATACCGGAGGAAGCACAGATTGGGAAAGCAAGTCACTCTTTTTTTCCTCAGCTGTCTCATATATAAAAGTCATTAAGGAGACACACGAAAAGGCTCACAGAGAGCAGACAGCATAAAAACGTCATTTTGAAATATAGCAGTATATGTGATATATTCCTTGTTATCTCACTTGAATAGTTCATAATCATATAATGGGTAATCCCAATAGAATTTCCTGATTCCTCCTTCAAATACAACAGAAATAAAAGCCAGTGGAGCTCAAATTGGTTAGATGGGGCCATCCAGAGTTCAATCAAAAAAGCAAATAACTTCAGGGGTGCCTGGGTGGCTCAGTTGGTTAAGTGTCTGCCTTTGGCTCAGGTCATGATCCCAGGGTCCTGGGGTTGAGCCACATGTTGGGCTCCCTGCTCAGCGGTGAGCCTGCTTCTCCCTCTCCTCCCTGCTCATGCTCTCTCTCGTTATCTGTCTCTCTCAAATAAATAAAATCTTAAAAAAAAAAAAAGCAAATAACTTCAGGTTTTAAAGCCAGAGAAACACACTCATCCTTACTGCCCAGGACACAGCAGACGTGACATCTATTATTCCAGAATTAACTGGTATTATTCTACCTTTCCAAATAATGCAGTTTCCCATATAAATTCTGGGAATAACAAAAGGCCTGTGTTGAGAAGAAAACACACACACACACACACACACACACACACACACTCACATGAGCTTTAACGCAAAAGGAAATTTCAGGATGTTGCTTCTAAAAATTCAGATGCACTGGATATATTCCACATGAAGCCACAAAAGAATCAGAAGCTAATTGAGGAAGGAAGCCTGCAACGTGTATTTAGAGTGGATAAAGTTTTTAACATCAGCTGCTTGACCACATACCTGCGCATTTACCACAGCATAATTCTGTTCATATTGTAAACTGAAGTACCCAGAATTAAATTACAAGTACTAGGAGGAGTTGGATAGAGTGGCCTGAAAGACTTCCAACCCCGGGGACTACCATGAAAATGAAATTTATGTAACTTCTTGAGGACAGTTTTTTGGAACAGAGCCAGGATGTACATGTTCTCAATCTAAGGAAGTGCTCAGACTGGCCCTATACAGCTTTAAATTCCTCATTCTGATTATGAAGCTTAGCAGGCATCTGCTTTTAAAGCCCCACATAAGCGAAGTTTTATAAACAGATATATTTCATTAGGTAGAAAAAAAAAAAGGTTTCTGTTCACCGAGGATAAAAAGCAAAAGTTGTTATTTCTTCTGACTGAAGGAAATTATAGAAAGATTAGAAGTGTTGCTATAGCAAGTTCTAGAAGGGTTTCACGAAGCTACTGCATATGATTTGGAAATCAGATGTTCCAAAATCAGTATCACAAAATGATCTTAAAATCAAAATACTAAAAATTGACTCACAATGAGCATACTCACACTTCTCAAGACTAGTGATATTTATGAGAGCTCATAATGCTTGAGTAAATTTTTTTTTTTAAACACCACAGGTCACCATAGCAAAATAAAGCAAAAGTTAAGAGCCACTAACGGAGGAGTTACGTACTTTTAAAGTAGTGTGTTGACTTATTCAAGCAGGTAAAGGTCTAGTCTCCTCACACATTTATTTATATTTCTGCCAATTCTGTTACCCTTGCCTTAAAAATGTTAGCAAGAGGTAAATGACATTAGGCAAATACCCTACCACGTCTATTTTTCCTCCAACTCCCATGCTTTACCTACCAGACCACTCAAAACCTCCCCCGACATGGCATGCTCTCTGGAATTCTATTCCTTCTGCATGGACAGTATTTCCCACCCTTTCTTCATCTTTCCTCATTCCTTGAAGTCCAGCTCAATCCGGGCTTGGTCTGTGAAGTCTTCCTTGAATTACCCGTTCATCACTCATATGCCAGCTAGAGATTCCGGATGAACGCTCATCACGGCAGGCATCACACTGAACGAATTAGGTTAGACTTGGCTACATATATATTCCTCTCATCCAACAAACTGTCTTCTTGGTGAGTAGGTTTGCCTTTGCATCTGACACACAGTGAGTTCGAACCAAAGGACTGCAGAATGAACAATGAATGACAGTGTTCAATAAACGTTGGATGAACACAAGATGAATGCTTGGTTGTAACTTGGCCCTCTTGCTTCTCAGCGAGCCTTTTTTTAGTCATGTTTTCCCTGCAACCTGACATGTACTCTGTGGTCAGCCTCAAGCCTGTAGTCTCCTCTTCCTACCATGTTCAGGAGGTGTTCTCAGAGCCTTTTTAATGGACGATACTTGAGACTATCTTGCATGAACTCCCTTATGTACCATCTTCTCCAAAGCATAGTATATATCGCCTCCGACATCTTCCTTTTCTTTCTTCCTGCCAATCTTGGGGAAATTGAGTCTTAACTCCTTCTAAAAGCTCATTATTCCATATAACCTTTGGAACCTTGGTTTCCTGCTTCCCTTATAAATTATCACCTCTACCCTTACCATTCTCAATTTCTTCCTCCTAATGAACTTTCTTCCATTCCCCTCTCCAAAATCTACTCCAAGGCTCTGTGTCCACCACTATACTCACCCCCCCATTCCTCCCTGCCTCTACAAATCCATTTTTCACAGCCAGTTCCCACCTTCTCGTTACTTGTGCCATATTCCCTTCTCCCCCTACACTGGCTTCCCTTCTGTGTCTTGTCTTGTCCCTCACCATTTAGCTTTTCATCATATTCTGCCATGAATGGCTTACTACTGACCTTATGAGAGCTGGTCACTTATTCTTCTTAATGGTCCCTCAGGGCAAAACTATCTTACATTTCTTCTGATTCTCCCAAGATTCTTATAAAATCGTGGGCATAGAATTAAAAACACATTGAGTATCAACTCTTGAGTCGATGTGACATCCAAAGCACTGAACACCAGCCCAAATTCTCAAAATCCCAGAGATGCCTTCAAAATAACTCCTCCTACTTTAACTCATGATGCAACCCCTTATTGACCACATTTGATCCAACTGGAAGTTTAAGTCAAAACTGGCATCAACTTCGGGATTTTAATAGTATATAGCATCCAACTAACAGTGTGTGTGTGGAGGGGGGTATGGGACACTAGGGAGGGAAAGGAAGGGCAAGGGATCCAGCTCGATGGTAACAGTGATACTTTAATTAAGGAACTCATAGTGTTTGCCAGATTTTCCTGGCATGAGAGGGGAAAATGTCTAAAAAGCTCTATTCCTTACAGAATTATAGAATCCTAAAGTTAGCCAGCAACCACACCTGGGAATATGAATTGCCTGAATTCACACGGCAGATGCTCCATACAATGTTAAAGGCACACTATACCTCACCCATTACCACCTAAATAGAAGCTCTTCTATTTATATTAATTTCCTTTTAATTACCAAGTATAAAGATGTAATAAATGTTAGCATCTTACCTTCTGTGCCTCCCTTTCAAAAAACAATTTATTATACAAAATTTCATTTTATATAGACAAGTAGAGACCTTAGATACCCATCACACGGTATCAACAGTTATTACTTCAAGCCAGGCAGGAACATTTTGCCTGTTATTTTTACTTAAAGCATCATGCTATGTTTTCCTTTAATTTTCTTAGTTCTGTTGGTTTGCATTGGTCTCCAGCAGTCTCCCCTCTCTCCCCAACCTTCGTTTTGCTTTATCCTTCTTTCGTGAGCTCTGTTGTCCTGTCTAAATCCCAAATCAACCAACAAGCAGTGATTTGCCACAATTACACTTACTTCTGTTGTAAGACAGAACTCAGTTTGAATATAACATTCCCAAATCAGAGTGGTGAGTAGCTAAATTAAAACGGGGAAAAGAAAATTGGTTCAATTTTATAAGGACAACAAATGTTAAGAAATAGTCGGACTGGTGCCGTAACATATACACACGCACCGCCCCCCCCCCCCACAACACACACACTCTCCACCGAAGTCAATATGCTTATTTTTAAAGTTAGTTTTAAAAGCTGCCGTCCAGTTTTTGATTTCATGATTACATTTTTCAAAATTCTATATCAAGAAAGAAAAAGGAAGGCGAGGCCTGCTAAAGCTCTTTTAATTAAATGTTATCTCCAGCTACCTGAAGAACTCTCTCCTACAAGGGCCTCATGCATCCTAATCAGCATTACATCTCCACCACTGGGTGCAGAAATTTGTTGCCTGCTCTCTACTAGACACTGCAGTAGGAGGAGAGATGGAGAAAAACTGGAAAGCCATGAACATCACAGTCACATTTCACCGGGGTCTAACAGCACAAGAAGGAATCTCATACGCTACTGTCCAAAGAATCAACGAACGTGATTCTCAACAGTGCCGGAAATCAAGCCACCAGGCTGCAGACTCGGCTCCCCTGTCCTCTCACCAAGTGTGATGGAATCAGGGTGGTGAGGCTCTCTCCTGGTGCTGTACATAACTATCTCGGGGCAACACCACTACCACTGGGAGCCCCTGGAGCATCCCTTCTGGTTGGCTGGTGCCCCTATGTACTATCACACCTCTGCTTCCGTCAATCTTGAAACACCCCATTTATTTTTCCCTCTGAAATTTCTGTTACGGCTCTAAAAAATAAATACGAGACTAGGGCAACGGGGACAACCTTTTCAGGAAGTCCTCTATTTATTCCAAAATCTCAACACCTCCGCTCAAAAAGAAAACCAAAGGGAGAAATCAAGTTCATATACACTTCAACACACCCAAAAAGCCCAAGCGTGACGCTCTCCTAGAAAAAAACGCCCATTTATTCAATGTCACCAGAAAGTGCATCGAAGCCCAAAGCTCGGGAGAAGCCTGAATATCTTCTGTACTTTCCAAGTCGAGATTGCAGACGTGGTCAAAATCAGACTATGGCTCTTATTTCTGGGTTTTAATATTCTCAGTGCTTGTTTTCCAGAAACAGAAAGCACCTTCTTTAATCAATAGCCAACAGGAGCAAAAACACGTGCTCTGGGGTGAGAAGGATCCCAGCAGCAGGCCAACTTCTAGGATGCACCATTCCACAAATGGAACTACATCCCAAAGGCCTGTAAGAGCCGCAGATGCCAAGTGCTTTCATCTGCCAGTCTCATTAGGAATATCTTGAGGGAGTGTCCCTGGTAGTATTTGGTTATCTGTTGCCAAGCTCCAGTGGCTAGCCCATGATCCAGCGGATGCATGCACACACCTTACTTGAGTAGGAGAGACGCGTTCTGGCCCTTCCTCACCTCATTTTCACGCACACCACCATGTTCCCTGAAGCTTCTGCAGGGCGGAGAAGGTACAAGTTGAGACTACGCTATCCTGGTCGCAGGGATACTCCCAAGCCCTCTGAGCTACAGAAGGATGAAGACTAGAAGAGCCCTAGAAGCTAAGGCCCAGCTCTATTCGAGTAGCTTACAATATTCATACGCTCACCCATTATTCCTTCGTTTCTGCAATATTTCCCGAAAGCCAGCGATGTGACAGGATGCAGATATAGCAAGAGAATCTTCTACTTTGAGAAGGGTAACACGAGATCAAGAAAAAAGGCTGTCCCTGTTTTTCTTGCCACTTAGCCTTTCTTGACTCACTTTCATGAAAGAACAGACACATCTCTTTCCATTCAGTCCTCACCAACACCGGTCACCAGGGATTTCATTAAAAGTGCATCTCTCACTTATCACACTGTGCTGGTTTCTCCCAAGAATTCCGCTGACTCGCTCCATTCGTTGCCTTGTATCTGTGGATGCTTTTCATGGGAGTTTACCAGAAGCCTGGTACCAGAAGGGGGGAAGCAGCCTTCATGTTAGCGAGGATGTCTCAGTGAGACACTGCATAACTCAGATAATTTGTGACCCCGTACAGAATACAATCTTAAGATGTGCCTTGCTTGCCAAGGCTTGAGCAAACACTCCCTGGAGGCACACATGAAAAGAGAGGCTGGGCAGAGAGCAGTGGGGGATCTGAGGACGGCGGGCCTGGAATGGGTCATGTGGAGGAGAGTCAGGGGCCTGGAGAAAACGTTCCTCACTTCTGAACTCTTTAAATTATGGGTATTTATTTTTTTGAAACTTCTCCTAAGAAAATTTTTGAAAAAGATACACTTGCAATTGATATCACTAATTTTTTAAATGAAGGAATAAGACAGAAATGTATTGAGACTTATCCGGTCAGAAGCCAGGGAGGCACACTTCACTTTATCTCATCGGCCACGATGCCTGGCTTGGACTTCGGTCATTGCATTTCCACTCACTTTGTTGAAAACTGTACTTTTGTCATTTCTGCTGATTTTAAGAATGCCTCATATTAAAACCACCAAATAACACGACACTTGTGGGATATTTCACGTCCTGATCAAGGTCATGATCCTCAACTTCATCTACTGGGAAAAGCACTGTATGAATGTTCTAGGCAACTCACGGAGTTAGACCTAAAGCAAATGGAAACTGCTTGCTTGGCTCAAACAATTCAACATATTTTTCTATTTGCCCTCTTAAACTTAGAGCTTGATAAAGCATGTAATTCTCCATCATTAGTATTTGTGTTAACAGGATAACATTTCACAATCAAAACAAAGAATTCTACCTCAGTACTTGACCAAATACGGCATAGTCAATAGATTTTTTTTTTTTTTTTTTTTAACCACAGGAGAGGAACTTCTGAGTCTTAAACTTGTCGGTGTTTAGAAGGCTACAGCTATAACTACTTTATTAAAACAAATTCATTCTTATAGATCTAATATCCCTTCTCCAGTAACAAACTCCTAGTGTGACTATTTTCCTTCTTCTCACCCAGCTTCTGATCATGTGAAACAACAACACAGGCAGCAGAAATCAGTAGGGAAGGAAGACGCGACATCCGACAGGAAACCAGGGGATCTCCCTGGCCCAGGCGAAGTAATTAGAACTGCAAATGCCCAGTTGCACTAATGAGAAGATCAGTATCAGTCTTAGGTACATGGACTCCCAAATTGACTATCATTAAACATAAATGAAATCTTAATTATGCCACTAGTAATAAGTCTTTCCAAAATATTGTGAAAGCTTCTCCATAGTCTGAAAAATGTCTGTACTCTTGTCAAAAAAGTGAATTACGTATGAGTAACGTGTAATTGGAGCCAACACTCTCTTTCCCTCTTTGCAAAGGAATCCCATGGTTTTCCCTCCACTCTCTACAATCTACTCTTCAGTGTATTAAGGTTTTGACTCATCCACCAGGCTCACTGACAAGCACTCATAAATTAGCTCACGGCACTCACAATCCCATGTGGCAGAAGCTATCGTCCCCATTTCACAAATGAGGAAACTTGAGACAAACAGCTTAAAAAATTTCCCCCAAATCATACAAGCTTCTAAGAGTCAGCGCCAAAATCAAAATTCAGGCCTACTGTCTCCAGCACCTGCATTGGTAAATGCCAAGATACAATCCAACCATCAATTTTATCACACTATTAATGTTCTCACTTTTGGTGGTGGTAATATACACACAGAAAATTTATCATTTTTACCATTCTTAAGTGTATTGTTCGGTGGCATTACGTGTATTACAGAATGAACACTTTTGCTATCTTCTTTGAATATTTTTCATGCCATTCTTTAGATTTTATTTGTTCTACACGTATTAAAACCATGGTATTTACCACTGTGTTCGGGGAAAGGGCAGATCTGCCACACCATCCATCTTTGAGACGGATGCCTCGAAAGGGGCCTCATTGTTCAATGAAGAAGAACGCCATTTAAAGCCCAATTCTACAGCTTCCCTCAGGCACTGCAACTGGCATGGCCCCCAGAAACCGCTAGATGGCACCTTATATCACATACTGCTGCAGACCTCCGCGTCGCAGCCTTTGGAAGTGTCTATATTCACTGTACTTCATATTTGAATTGCTATTGGGTCCTTTTACACTAAACCTCCCAATAGTACTGAGAAAGCATTTATTACGTGCAAGGTTCTTTCCCTTACAGGACAATTTGTTTTAGGCCACAGCAGGTCATCCAAGCAAAATCTGAAAGCTAGTCAGTCCACCTTTACAGGCAAAACGAGGTGATGTGCTGGAACCCATGAAATGTACATTAACATTGTCCTTAAAGGAAACTGGGATGCATTAAGGGATAAAAATCACAGCAAACCTGTTGCCCTGTACTTTTTTTTTTTTTTTCTTGTTCTAATCAGCTACTCTATGTTCTAAATTCTGGAATAAGCAACAACAGATTCACAGCACGGGATCTGTAACGTGCCGATACCTACCATTTGACTCTGAAGCCATTCAACAAGCGTTTCTGCTGTTGAATCTGGGATCTGGCATCTCAAACCTTCCTTTTCATCTGTGTCCATCATCTCCAACAAGCCACGCAGGTCTTCCACAAGGTGCAGAGCTCGAAGGCTTCCCATGAATGGGGAGGTGGGAGACTGGCAATCAAAAATCCCATTGGAATATTCCAGGGCCTTAGAACCTGGGTTTAAAAAAAACAAAAACAAAATCACAGAGAGAGCAATAGGATTTATATTAGATAATATACTAAAGCTGAGGGTGGCAAGCAAGTCCAGTCACAGTGAGGAATTATCAAAACAAGCAAAAAGGAAAAGAAAATAATTCAATCATTTCCAAGTCATAGTGATTTGGTGCAAAAAATAAAACCCACATAATTGATGGTAAATATCAATCGCCAAATACCTAATTGGGAGGCCAACTACTACAACTGTGTAGTACAGTAAGAATATAATGAATGGGCTTTGGTGAAAGATACGCTGACCTCATGGAAATAAGGTCTAAGAAGGTAGCAGATCAGTTTGGATAGAGCCAAGTACTCCCAAAATATAAATTTAGGTACCATAAAGTTTTGAGAAATTCCTTTAAAAGAAGTTTGCACACTGAGGTGGAAATTGCATAACATAATGTCAAGGGTAACAGGACCAGCTCCCAGTTAATTTACCAAAATTTAATCTCTGGAGAAGTTCAATGAATTACATGTATACATTTGTGTATATATGAATGAGTGTGTATGTATTAACATTTTCTCCCATGATTTTATTTGCAGCATAGCATCAAATGCTCTTGCTAATATCAGCTTTAAAAAAAAGTTTTACAGTCATTTTTTTCCTATTACTTATAAAGGAAAGCATTCTATGACTTAAATCTACATAACTCACCCAGAGCCTGTTCAGAAAGCACTCATATATACCTCTTCATCTCTTTGATTTTTATTTTCTGGTCTGCCAAATATATATACTATTAATATATGTACTAACTTTATATTTAAGTGTCAATAATTTATGATATTTAGACTACCACCTCATTAATCTGAGGGTCTTATAATTGGAAGAAAACTGCAAACCGATGTGTAAATTCTCTCACCAGTTGGCCATACAGCTTGATCAATTCCAACCACGGGGAGAGGAATTTTCTTTCAGTTAGTCCATTCCACTGACCTTCCTTAAAACTGGACCAAATGATCTGGACCAAAATCTGCCAAACCATAATAATGGTAACCATTGATATGCTAGGCCCAATGCTAAATGCTTCACATAACCCTCTGCATCAATCCCCTCAGAAACCATGTAAGGCTGAGAGGAGAATCCAGAAAAACAGAAATTGAGGAGAGTATGTTAGGGAAAGGGAAGACCAGAAGAGCATTAAAAACAAAGCAGACTATAATGTCCTATTCCAGCAGTTTTAAGCATTAGGATCAACGGATAATCCTATTAAAAATAGATGTGCCCACAATAACCTTCCACTCTGTTAAGTCTCCATCACAAAACAAAGTGGGGTATAGGGGAGAGATGTGTATTTAGAAAAACTCTTCAAATATTTGCAGTCATATCTCCCTCCTACCTTAGGTGGAGAGCTACTGATATGAATTTGAGAACATAAACCCAGGGCCTACCCATTAACCTACTGACCGACTCAGGGTGAGGTGGGACCCGAGAATTCTTGATTTTCTGAATAACTCTAATGTTGGTCCTGAAGCCCTACCAGGGGTAAGGGACAAATACACTCATCTAGTGGAGTATATAAAATGTCAACCCTCAACTACTGTCCAGAAATACCACTTCTCTTGACTAGAGTTTCACTAAGAGTTTGAGGTTATAACCTCTGATAATAGCTTAGATCTGGCTCTGGTTGTATTTTCTGAAACTATGACACAGTAAGTCCAATCTCTTTTCCACCTAATAGTCCTTCAACTGTGTGAAAGTATCTATCATGCCCTGAGCAAGAATATACTTTTCCAGGTTAAACTTAACCAGTTCCTTCCTTACCAGATGAGGCTGTTTTAAATTCTTCACCTTCATGTTCACCTCCTTTTAAGTTTTACCAATAACCTCTTTGAAACTGATATTCCAAGAACTGAATACAGTACACAAGATGTGATCTAATCTACAAAGGAGGTCAAATTAAAATCTGGTCTTGGGATATACAAGTATAACAAAGGAGGCCAAACTATGACATGCCATGTCCCTCAGTGGAAGAACCTCTGACAAGGAAAACCCCTGTGGTTTCTTCGAACCACTAAAACAGAAGAGGGTCAAATTTATGACCAGAAAAGATAAGCAACAGGGGCCAGAATAGCTAGAACGGGGGAGTAATAGAGGCCAACAGCATCTTGACCCTGACCATCAGGTGGATGACAACCCCACCCACTAGCTCCTGCAATCCTCTCTTCATTACCATGGGTCCCTAAATACATAAAGGTACTCCTCCTGTGACAAAACACAAAATGTGACATGAGACCTTAGGAAGCCACTACCCCTGGGAGACCACAAGGGCCTGAAAGGGTTCACCTACTGGTCAGTCCCTTTGGTCATGATGAGAAAAACAAGGAGGTCATGGTCTACACTGTTTTTGCTCCACTTCCACAACACAGAATCGCTCGAGATTCTTAACAAGTGAGGAATATGGCCAGATCTGTGTCTCAGAAAGGAAATTCCGGTAGCCTAGAAAATGATGGAGTAGGGTGGGAAAGCAAGAGCGTCAAAAACATCAAGGGAGAGGGTTGCCAGGACAAAGCAGGGCAGAGGTAAGCACAGACAGGACAGATTTTAGAGGGAATCAAAGAGAATGCTGAATTTAAAGGGAGACAGAAGTGATAAAACTTGACTAAGCAGGGACTATGAGGGACAAAGGTCTAGAGTGACTTAAATTTCTATTTAGGAAACTGCGTGGATGGAAGGTTATGAAATTAGACGAGATAAAGACTACTAGAGAGGCTTCTGAGGAAAGAAAATGAGCTCAAAGCTTTACCTGATGACACGGATGTGCATATAGGCTATTTCAAAGGAGATACCTGATTGGCAGTTAGAGACCCAAAGCTTAGCAGAGAATTGAGTAAGTAAATAGAAGTGAGAGTCATTGCTGGGAAAAGTAAATGTCAAATTCAAGGGAACAGATAAGAATATCCATGGGATACTGGGTAGAGCAGTATCCCTCAAAGTGTGGCCCACAGACTACCTGCACTGAAATCACATGAGATGCAGTTTATCCTTGAGTCAGAACCCTAGGATGGAAATGGAATTTGACATTTTAAAATAAAGTTTGAGAATAATACTGGTATAAAATGGAGAAGAGGGACCAAGGTGAAACCACACGGGATCTAAAGGCAGCCAATAAATGAAAATAAGAAAGTGGAAAGGTAATAAAAGAGTTGGAATGGAAAAGCCAAGAGCGCCGAGTAAATGTCCTGAGTCCATCCTTCAGAGGACACAGATTACCTGCTATAATCCCATCCATCTGCTCCAACGCCGCTGCCAACATGTCACTTGCGTCACTCATCATTTTGGTATCCGTCAAGGGCAAATTCCAACCTAGATCTGAAAAAACCATGATGTTACCATTATATCCTTTAAATGACACATGCTTCCTGGCAGGTGTGATAGCTCAACGTCAAATTACAACCCCACCTAGACATCTACCACTCTGCAGCAGTAGAGCTGAATTACCTGAGTCACTTAACACGCTGTGGCCGGCCATCTACCGTACTGCAAGACCACACACTCTACCAGGTAATAAAATAAGTAAGTTTCAGTTATTGCACGCAAGGTGTTTAAAGTCCAGTAGAAGAGTTTCCATGATGCACTCTACAGAGCTCGAGGGCTCTGTGAAGGGCACCAGGGATGGCTGTGGAAACTTCCTGAGGGCCATTAGGAATGCTCAGTAGGTGAGATTTTTTTTTTCTTCCTGCACCAGCCCCACCCAATTTCTGCTCTTTCAATTTTGCCTTCTTTTCCCCCCTTGTATAAGGATTTACCATAGGAATTAGTTAAGAAAAGGGTTTACTAGCATATACACTAAACACACACACACAACCACTGGTATTTTGTAATATAACAACAGCTACCATGTACAAGTGTCTACAGTGGTCCCTCTACAGGTACATAAATTATTCATAATCCCTAATCATGACAACAGCCTAATAAAATGGATACACTTATCTCTATTAGATAGGTGATATCAAAGATGTTTGTTGGTTTTTGCATAGAAACACAGCACATAAATATATAGTAAAGACCAGGTTTTAACCTAGGTCTGTCTGACCTCCATTATAATACATATTAAATTTCTGTTTATCTCATCTTATCTGAAAAATAGGCTTATGCTGAAATTATGACACAATCTACTCATTTTTTTACCTGTTACAAATATACTGGAATTATTCTTGCAAAAAATTTAATTATGAACAAGAAAAACTCAAGGCTATGTGATTTCCAATATTAATTAATGCACTTCAAGTAGCAGACTAAGCACCTACATAAATTCTCCCAAAAGGCCTAAATAAGACCTTAGCTACTTTGCAGATATTGTGGTGTAGCAAATATCTGGGAAATAAAAGGTATGCTGTTTAAAAGAAAACTTTGCCCACTGTTTCCAAGCGGCCAGATGTCACCACTTTACTTTTATAAACATATTTACAGCTCTGATAAACAGCTTCTTGGATCAGTTCTCTACTCTGCATTCATTCTGATAAAATGCCATATTAAAATTGTGAAACACTACTTTGATTTTATAGTTTTTAGAGATTTTGTCTCAGATTTCCCAGAACTTTACTCAACTTCAGAAGTTGTAAAATATCACATCATTTTATGTGGAAAACTACAGCACAAAAGTACTCAAAGCAGATGTTTACAGCCACGCAGAAGTAAGGGAGTTAACAAAGCAATGTTATGAACTTAGGTAGTTCTCAGATATTTACTTGAACAGTCCAGAGACGTAGGGAGCAAATTTAATAATCACACTTCAGGATGAAAACTCAAAACTCAGTGATGACTGAGAATATAAAGGTTTAAGCGGAGACCCTGCAGTCCCTGAGTTTCATATAGTGATGTGGCTCGCATTCCCTTTCATTTTAAAAGCTCTTCAAAGAGCTCTAGATACTACGATAAATATAAAAATAACACAAAGAGATACAAGCCAGGCTCAGCTATAACAATGGCTAATGCTCATATTAGAAAAACTCTCACCACCTCATTAAATTAGAAAAACAAATATTCATCTTTGTTAGCAACTGTATTTGTGTATAGCATGAACACTTTTTCACCTATGACAGGTAGTTATGGATTTCTTCTCATTCTGTTCAGTGAGGCTTTCAAACGTTCTGACATGGAGGTATGAGAACTTAGACTGTGGTTTTCAAAGCTGTTTTTTAATTTCCAATCCTTTAACAAACGACAATATTAAATTGCAATAAATGTTTATAAATGCTTATCTCAATCCCTATACTTATGTAGCAGCCTGCATGTAATAGAAAGGGGAAGACAGTAAAACAGTCAATAAAAATGTACTTAATATTGCAAAGGTGGAAGGTGTTAAAGGGAAAAAATGGAGTAGGAAAAGGGGGTCAAGAGTTTAGAAGGGTTCGCAAATCAAATAGGGTAGTGTGGGAGAATGACGGATTCAAAGGCCTAAGATCTGTTTAATAAATTAAAAGTAGTCAGTATAGGTGGTCTGGTTCAGTGGTATTCAAAGGACAGAATTCCTACAAATTGATTTAAAAAGGGGAGAGGTGAGGACATGAACAGAAGTATAATAGAAAATATCTTCGGCTGATAAACACACATAGAGGCTTAATGTCATTAATACAAGGAATTTTAGACAACAATGCGATACCATTTTATACCTAGTCAACTGGTGTAAAAAAAAAAAAAAAAAAAAAAAAAAACGACATTACCCAGTATTACAGAGGATGTCGATTCACAGAATCTCTTACAGAATGGCGGTGGGAATGTAAAATGGGCTTAACCAGTTGGAATAAGTTTGGCATTGTCATCTAAAATTAAACATATTCATTTTCACTCTAACAATATTTACACCAAGGCACATAATCATGGACACACACAAATGTTCAGAGTAGGACTCTCCGCAAGGCCAAAAACGTGGACACAAACCAAATGTCCAACACAAGAGAAGATTAATAAACTGGTGTATTTACACAATGGAATTACATACAGTTGTCAAGATAAACTAAAGCAATGTGTGTTATGAATAAATCCATGCAGTATAATAGCAAAGAAAAATAACTCTCCAATAAATTCAGTGAGACTTTTTAAAAGGTAAAACAATACAAATATAAATGTATTTTAGAAATACATATAGACTCAACATAACTATACAAACAGAAAAGAGGAAATAGTAACATGAAATTCAGAATGATGTCTACCTCAAGTCAGGGATATGGGGGGAGAGACTGAGAGGAAGAGTTACATAGTTAAATAAAGATTACTGTAAGGTTTTTGAGTTGGGTAATGGATTCAGAAGAGTGCTTAGTACATTATTAAAAAATGGCAAAATGAAAACTCCACTTCTGATAACGGTGGAGTAGATTTTATAGGACAAACTACCACACAAATAGCAATACAAAACACTGGATAAAATATAAAAACAGTTTTGAAGAAACTAGAGAGTGAACAAAAGCTGGTAGAAACGGGAGGGAATTCAGCTCTCGAGTAAAGGGAACCATAATGAGTGAGATTCGTGTTTATACATCTTTTACCTGTGGGCACTCCCCAGTCCATGGGATGGAGAGTAGCTAGGATAATGAAGAATATCAAAATCTTATTGGCTCAAAAGGAAGAAAGGGGTAAACCTCTTACATTATAAGCAAAGATGTTTAATACTAATTCATGGTAGACTGTGAGAAGTTAAGAATATACAATGTAATCCATTAAGATTACAAAATAAAGAGGTATTAGTAAAAAGCCAGTTAGGTTAATGAAATGGAATACTAATGAAATCCTCAATTCAAAAGGAGGCAATAATGGAACAATGAACAGATGGGAGAAACAGAAATCAAATGGCAAGATGGTAGATTTAAAATTCAATCATATAAATAATTATATTAAATATAAACAGAATGAACACTATTAAAAGCCAGAGATTGCCAGACTGGCAAAAAAAACAAAAAAAACAAAAAAAACCCTAACTATAAGTTGTTAATAGAGGTATACTTTAAATATAAAGAAATATAAAAATAAAAGGCTGCAAAATGAAATACCATATACATAGTAAGCCTAAGAAAGGAGTGGCTATATTCATATAAGAAAAACGGCTTTCAATTGAGAAGTGTTACTAGAGAGAGATATTTTATAATGATCAATTCATCAGGGAGTCATAACAACTGCAAATGTTTTTGCAACTAATAACAGAGCTGCCATATATATAAGGCAAAACCCAACATAATTAAAGGAGAATTACATAAATTAAGTCATTTATATTTGATGTAATTTTTGATATAGTTAGATTTAAGTGTATGGTCCTGTCTTTGTTTTGTTTTGTCCCACCTGTCATTTTCAAACCTCTTTCGGAATAGCAAAGGTAGGCACAAGGTAGGAAAAAAATCCAGCAAGAACATAGACGATTTGAACAATAGCTTCAACCATCCTGACCTAATTTGATTTATATAAGAAAACACCCAAATGCAGAATATACATTCTTCTTAAGTCCACATGTTATATTCATCAGGATAGTCCATACATGCAAAGCAACAAAGTCTCAATAAATTCCAAATGGACTTCAAAAGACTACACAGAAGAATAAGAACAGCAAACTGAAGTGGTAAAGTACTAATATTAAAAACAGAATTTCCATATTTATTGTTTATTAAAATTCTGACTTGCCCATGCCCTGAGTTATTTTAGAGGCAGCCTAATTTAATGAGCATCTGTGTTGATAAAACTATGTCAACTTTCATGGCTGGGTCAAAGTATTTTTTAAAAATAGAAAGGCTAAATGGAAAAACTTCAGAAAATCCTATGCTCTAAAAAGATTTTCCTATATCCCCAAAAACATTTCTGAGAGGAAGATTCCCCTGGACATCTCTACATACTTAATACAATATTACTCCAAATACAGTGAGAGGAATGTTACTCCACAATAGAAAAGACTGAACTACTGACACATGCAACATTATGCTGAGCAAAAGAAGCCAGACATAAACAATGATGTACTATAAAATCCCTTCTATATGAATCAAGAACAGGCAATCTATAGTGATAGAAAGTAGGAAAATAGTTACTTGCAGGAAGCGGCAAATGATCCCGGGGGACCTCCTCTTCAATATGCTGATTGAGTAGTTGGTTATACAAATTTATACATTTATCAAAACTCATCAAACTGTACACTTAAGATGTGTGCATTTCACTATATGTAAATTTCATCTCAAATTTTAAAAATTAGGAATGAAGACTGCTATTAATTAAAAATGAAATTGTCGTTTTAAACAATGAACTAAATAAATGGATTAGTAATAAATATGAAATGCATGGACTTATAATAATGTCATAAATCAAGGCTAATGAATAACCCAATTATAGACTTG